ACAGAGGCCGCCCAGGAGGCCCAACAAGGGGAAAACGAAGGGAGGGTAGAGGTATGAGGTACGGGCACCCAGTCCTCACCCGATCTGCGATACGCTCCTGTCCCAGGGCAGGCCCCCGACATCCTTCCGAGACGGTGCCCACTTCCCGGGCGCCTCCTGGCCGGTGGGCCCTTTCCGCCGACCCGCGCCCCCGGTCGCCCCCAGCGCACCGCCCCCCTGCAGGCCCGCGCAGCGCGCTGGGCCGGGGCGTCGGACGCCCGATGCCGACCCAGGCGCCGAGGGCGGGTCGGTGGCAACGGTCCTCCTCCTCTCTCTCTCCCTCCTCTCTCTCCCTCCTCCTCCTCCTCCTCCTCCTCCTCCTCCTCCTCCTCCTCCTCCTCTCGACGAGCCGAAATCCTTCACATCAGTAGTTTTGGGTCTCGGAGCCCACAGAGCGGTTTTTTCATGGTTTCCGTTCGACGTTCCATGAAGCCCGATGTCATTCCGAGGCCGCGCGTCGAACGTTTTCGATGGCGCGTCGCGTTATGCGATGTCACGTGCGTTGGGGTCGTCAAAGGCTTGCGTGCTTGTTGCGGATCGGTTGATGTAGGCTGGGGCTTCTCAGGATTGTACATTTGCTTTGCGCTGGGGCGGTTTCGACCCCCACCCCTGGCTGATCCACCCCGCGGGTAACGTCGCAGGAAGAGTTCGATCATTTCGTTCGTAGTGCCAGCGATGCTGTCGCGGACATTGACCGCGCCACGGGGGGGGGTCGTCCAGAAATTTCCTACCATATTGCAGTGTTGGTTCTTCGTTTTGAAGAGACACCGCCCCGCGTCATTCCTTCCGGCCCCCTCCCTCGCCCTCCCTCTTCGCGTATCTGCCCCTGCTATCCGCGTGTCTCCGTCGTCATCGTCCATCGTCATCGTCGCCGTCACCATCATCATCAGCATCATCAGCATTCTCGCCGTCTCCATCATCAAGACCACCACCATCCTCATCAACATCATCAAAACACCCCCCTTGTTCCCCCGCGTCTGTGCTTCGCCACATCCCCCGCAAGTCTCGTGGCCTTGTGAGGTGCTCCACCGAAGGCCACATCGGCAGGGTCCTTAGTGCGCCGCCCAGCCCATGTCGGCACGCCCCTCAGACGCTTCGTGTCCCCATGAGGAGCTCATCGGAGGTCCCGGCGGCCAGGTCCACATGCCGTCGCCCAGGCCACATTGATGACACCCTCAAACATTTCGTGCCCCTATAGGCAGCTCCACCAAAAAAAGGTCCCAGCGGCAGGTTTCCCAGGCCGCCGCCCAGCATATTTCGGCATACGTTTCACACGCTTCGTGGCCCCACGGGGAGCTACACCGACGGCCCCACAGGCAGGGCCCACAGGCCGCCGCCCAGCCCATTCCGTCATACGCTCACAAGCTTCGTGGCCCCATTGGGGAGCACCCCCGATGGCCCAAGCGACAGGGTCCACATGCCGTCGCCCAGCCCATGTCGTCCACGAGTGGCGCCCAGCACGGCTCCAAGAGCGCCCCAAGAGGCGCCGAGTAAGTTGCACCCTCATGCAAATAGTTTTTGTCACTTGTGGGGGTCCTCTTGGGGCCCTCTTGGAGCATTCTTGGGGCCCTCTGGGAGCGTTCTTGGGGCCTTCCCGGGGCCCCAGTGGGCCCTCGGAGGGCCCCAAGAACGTTCCCCGAGGGCCCCAAGAGGGACCCCCCAAAGTGGTACAAAGAATTCGCGCGAACGTGCAATCTGTTGTAGGCCTTTCGGGGCCCTCTGGGAGCTCTCTTGGGGCCCCCATTGGTGGCGCCTTGGGGCCTTGGGATGGCTCCAAGAGGCTTCGGGATTGCCCCAGACCGCCACAAGACAGCTCCGAGACGGCCGTCGAGCACCACGGGTGAAAGCAAGTGAGGCTAGGGAACAGGGCCTCTGGTAAGCCGCCACTGCGCCCCCTGGACTACCCAGACAGCGAGGGGACCTGAAACGCCCTGGGGCTCCAGGGGCCCCAGATTAGTGAAGTGAAGGTTTTTGCCATGCAAGCACCCCGAAATTCTTCACTTCACTAAACCGGACCCAGGACGAACTCGCTACGCTCCAGTCCCGCGGGAGATCCAAGACTCCCGCCGCCGCCCGGGGACGTTGCTGCATTGCGGTGCTCTGGTCACTGTTAATGGCTTCCGCGGGCTGCAGCGGCTCACTTCCATGACTACCCCGACTCACGAATCCAGTGGTTGGTCTGGCTCTATGGGTTGGTTTCGTTGTGTCGGTTGATTTTATGCTTGGTTGGCGGTCGGTGGATTTCGCGTTGTTCATTGGTGTCGTGAAGTGATTTGTCGTTTGGTTGGTCAGTGCCGTTTTGTTGATTCGTGCCGTTTTGTTGGTTGGTGTCGTTTCGTTGGTTGGTGTCGTTTTGTTGCTTGGTGTCGTTTTGTTGCTTGGTGTCCTTTTGTTGGCCGGTGTCGATTTGTTGGTTTGTTGGTTGGTGTCGGTTTGTTGGTTGGTGTCGTTTTGTTGCTTGGCGTCGTCCTGGCGGCGTGGCCGATAATCGGCGGCCTGCAATGGCGCCAGGATTTGTTTCGGGCCAGCCTTGATCGCCCTCATCATTCTCATATTCGTCAGCGTCAGCACTCGTCGCCCCCATCCGCGCACACATGCGGCCCTGGTACGGCTCTCACGCGGCCCTGCGAAGGCCTTCACTGTGCTCCCCAAAGCTTTCTGAGGGGCCCCCCAGAGGCCCCAAGAGGGCACTGGAAATTGTCGCTTCCAACTCCGCCAGGCGGAGGTCAACAAGGGTCTCACTGGTGCACTTCCAGGAATCGTCGTTCGATCCTCTTGGGGCCCTCCTGGGGCCTTCTGGAGCCGTCTTGGAAGCTCCGAGCGGCTCCATGAAGGCGCCGGGCGATATCGCTTCCAATTCCGCCAGGTGGAGTTAGACCAGGGGCTCACTGAGGCCCCTTTTTGCGCCCTCCTCTGCCTTTGAAAAAGCCCCGATGGGGTTCTTCAGTGCCGTCTTAGGGCCCCTAAGAGGCCTCCAGTAGGGTATTGAAGTTATCGCTTCCAACTCCGCCACGCGGAGTTGAACCCAGGGCGGCTCTCTATGGCCCTTTCGGGGCCTTCTTAGAGCTTTTCTGAGGCCCTAAGTGGGCCCTGGGAGGTGTCATTTTCACGGGCGTTGAAAGTGACACCGCGGAGGGCCCTCTTGGGCCCTTCTTGGGGCCTCTCTTGGGTCCCTCTGGGAGCCCTCTTGGTGCCGCCCTGGGGCCTTCTCGGGGCCTTCTTGGAGCCTTTCTGGTGCTCTTTAAGTGGGCCCTGGGAGGTGTCACTTTCACGGGCGCTGAAAGTGACACATCGAAGGGCCCGCTTTCCCTCGTAGCGCTGCCCGTGGCCGGGGCATTGTGCAGCGCATCCCTCGTCGAACGTATTTTGTCGGACGCGTGGTCGAATTCCGCCAGTTCGGTCGAGATGGTGGTCAAGCGGTTCGGTTGCAATGTAGCCATGCGGATCTGAGCTTACCATTTCTTGCCATTTTGGCGGGGATCGCAGGAGCGTTTGTGTTGTGATCAACTGTGCTCGATATATCCAGCGGCAGCGTTTCATCCCAATATATTATTTTGAAAAAAAGTCAGCAGGGGCCAAATTGCTGATGTGAAGCAACATAGGTCTCGTATCCTCCTCCTTCTCTTCCTCCCCCTCCTCCTCCTCCTCCTCCTCCTCGTCCTCCTCCTCCTCCTCCTCATCTCTCTCTCCCTCCTCCTCCTCCCCCTCCTCCTTCTCCGCCTCCTCCTCCTCCTCTTTGTCCTTTTCCTCTCCATCCTCCACCTCCGCCTCCTAATCCTCCTCCTCATTCTCCTCCTTCCCTCCTTCTCCCCCCCCCCCCCGCGCTCTCCACCTCCACATGGCCCCTCCCTCCTCCTCCTCCTCCCTCCTCCTCCTCCTCCTCCTCCCTCCTCCTCCCCTCTCCTCCTCCTCCTCCTCCTCCTCCTCCTCCTCCCTCTCCTCCTCCTCCTCCTCCTTCTCCTCCTCCTCCACTTCCTCTAGCGGCGAAGAGCTCTGGGTCTGACATTACATGTATTCACGCGGTAGCATCGCTGAAGGCATGGACCACCAGCGATTTTGCATACATATATTGCTCCCCCATTGGACCCGAGCGGGGGGGCGTCGATGGTCTTCGGAGAGGCTCGACGTACAGAGATCGTAAATCACAAAAGCGTAATCGTAATCACGATAGACTGCAAATCAGCGAAAAGCGCCCGATAGTGCTCAATTGCGCCACATAGCGCCCAATAGCACCCTGTAGCGCCGAACAGCGCTCCAAAAGCGCCCAAATAGCAACCAATAGCAACCAATAGCGCCATCCGAGGGAGATGATTGATGTCCGCTGTGTGCTCGATGAAAAAACCTGAGTCTGTTTCGTCCCACATGTCTTGCGGTACCCGCATCCGCGTGTGGTTGGGCACTTCGCCCAGATAGTTTGCTTGTCACAAATCGCGTTTTAGATTAATTGTGGGTTAGAAGATCGTTTGGGCCCCTTGCGGTTTTAAGAAAAAAACTACATGGGCCGCAGTGGGCCCCCTTTCTGTTTTTTCGGGGGCTGAGGAAACCGAAAGGTGAATAGCGAGGCGTCGGCATCGCCAGCAGCACGCGGAACGGCGATGGAGATGATCGACAAAGCTTTTCGCAATCAGCTCGGGGCTCTGCGGCATGGCGTTCGCAGGGGGATCCTTCTTCCCCGACATAGCTCAAGCTCCGCTTCAAAAAGGCACAAATGATTTGGACGTGCATATGCCAGTGGATGGCAAACGCCGCGCCCTAGACATAGCATCACACCTGGAACGCCGCCACCAGCGCTCTGAAATTCACTTCCTGCTCAACGGCCCTGATGTGGGTGCGCAACCTATGCTCGGCAAGGAGCCTCGACCACTTCTGTCTGTTGGCCTTCTTGGGCAACATGCCGCCGTATCGCTTCCTGACCCATCGCTTGATCAATGAGCTGGCCCGAGCTTCGGCGAAGGCCGAACTCGCGCTCGAAGAGCTTGTCGTAGGCGTTGTTGCAGACCTGGCGAGAAGCCACAGTGTCGAACTCGGACGAACCCCACCGTGCCCAAATCGTAGCGTCTTCCTCGCTCGGGTTCAGGAATGCTTTGAGGATAGATGCCGATTGCTCAGACAGCTCGCCGTCGTCAAAGATGGCGGGCCTGACGCGGGTGACGGGCTCTGCCTTGAAGAAGTGGAAATGCTTGGCTGCCACGATCGTCGGCACGAGCTCGCCCGCCTCGGCATCTCCAGACTGCTCCAGCGCCTCGATCTCCACGCGGCTCATCATGAAAGCTAGCGTCTTCGACCCAGCGCTCTTCCCAACGCGCGTCTTGCCGATCCACGCCAAGCCGAAGGCCCTGAGAGTGGAGGCCAGTAGTGGCTTGATCACGTTGTTGAGGAACCATGGCTCGAAGTCGCGAAGCGTCAGGATCCAGATCGTGAGGCCCTTGGCGTTTGCCCTGCCCTTCGCGTAGTTGTTCAGGGCTCTCGACGTGGCTTTCCTCCCAACCAAAAATATTGGACTCTGGCCGACAGCTCCCCCGATCCGCAAACTCCACGAACTGGTTCGCATTGTTGGTGCGAGGCCCCTTTTCACGTATGAACTTGTACCCCGCGGCCTTGAGCTCCCACTCGGCCGTCTTCCTGGAAGCCCCCTTGCCAGGTTTTGCGACCACGGTGTGGTAGCGCAACTGGTAGCCCTCCACTTTCTTCAGCATGTACTGCACGGCCAGGCGCCCAACCCTAAATTGGTTGCCGTAGCGCCATATCAGGCCAGTGCCGCGACGCATCTGAGGGCACGAATCCGTCCTGGTGGACACCCAGGAGGCTCACGTCTTTCAGGATGTCGTGCTTGCCGTCGGCCTTCTTGACGACGAACACCTGCATGGAGCACTGGCCAGGCGGCTCCTTCTTCAAGGAGAAAGGCTCGGGCATGCTTTTGAAGTCGCGCGTCTTCGCGCAGTCGCGCAGGGTTTCCCATGGGATGTCGCCCTGATAGTCGCCCAGGCAATCCGCGAAGTACACGATCATCTTGCCGCACTCCGTCGCGAACTGCGCGGGTAGATCGGCGATTGCGCACTGCCCTGCCATGTTTTGGGAGCGCGAAGCGGGCGGAGCCTGGCCTGTTGGAGCCAAAAAGGCTTGAGAGGCAGATTGTTGCGGCCATGTCAAACCCTCCTCCTCCACCACATGGGGGCATCCCTTTTTGTGGATGCCCTCCAGAGCATCAGCGCCGTGCCCGTGATGCTGCACTACGGTACGCCATGCAATCGCAATCTGCGCGCTGCCATATCCAACAACAACAACAGTTCTTGGTAAATCACGTGCAGGTGAGCGGCCGTGTTTTCGGGGGCGGAAGTGGGAATCCATTGTAATGGCTCCCCACTTCATCCTGCCTCCTCCTCTTCATCATCATCATCATCCTCCTTCCGCCTTCATCATGCCTCCTTTTTCCTGCCTTCTCCTCCTCCTCTTCCTCCTCCTCCTCCTCATGGGGGCATTTTTTTGTGGATGCCCTCCAGAGTATCAGTGCCGTGCCCTTGATGCTGCACTACGGTACGTCATGCAATCGCAATCTGCGCGCTGCCGTATCCAACAGCACCAGTTCTCGGTAAATCACGTGCAGGCGAGCGGCCGTGTTTTCGGGGGCGGAAATGGGGACCCATGGTTTGGGTTCCCCACTTCCTCCTGCCGCCTCCTCCTTCCTCCTTCCTCCTGCCTCCTCCTCCTCCTCCTCCTCCTCCTCCTCCTCCTCCTCCTCATTATTAATCCCCTTCCTCTCCCCCTTCCTTCGCTTTCTCCCCCCCTCCTCCTCCTCCTCCTCCTCCTCCTCCTCCTCCTCCTCCTCCTCCTCCTCTCCTCCTCCTCCTCCTCCTCCCCCTCCTCCTCCTCCTCCTCCTCCTCCTCCTCCTCCTCCTCATCCTCCTCCTCCTCCTCCCCCAAGCAAAACCATTGGTAAAAGGAAAACAATACTAAAACAAGCAATCCTGGGGGACTTCCCCCCCCCACCCCACCCCCCAGGAAGTTCCCGAGGATTTTTTTTTGTTTTTTGTTGTTTTGTTTGTTTGCTGTTTCCCCATGGTTTTGCTGGATTCCGCCTTCGATGGGGGAATCTGATTGGGAGGAGGAGGAGGAGGAGGAGGAGGAGGAGGAGGAGGAGGAGGAGGAGGAGGAGTGGGAGAAGGAGGAGGAGGAAGAGGGAGGCGGACCAGGAGGGATGCACTCACTTCCTTCCTCATGCTACAAAGGGAGGAGGTGACAGAGAGACCTTCTTGCTCAAATCTGAACATCGCGGGAGTCCGACACCGTCTTGGAACTTGAGGTGGGAAACGCCATTTCGTTTTTTTCTTAAAGACGCAGGGGCCCAAACGATCCTCAAACCTAATTGTGTGTCTCTCTCTCTCTCTCGTTCTCTCTCTCTCTCTCTCTTTCCCTCTCGCACATGTTTGAGCGGCTTCGCGTTGGCGGAGTCATCCCACCGTTAATCTCCCCTCCCCCGCGCCCCGCTGGAGCAACATCTGGAACCGCGGCGCTTGATTTGATGTCTGGGGGTCAAGAAAAAGGCCGCAATGTTGTGAGCTTCGGCGACTGAGTTGGGTGCAGCACGTGCCAACGTAATTGTTTGAGTGCGCCAGCGCAGGAGGGTGTCAGTTGTCTGCAGTGCCCTGGAGTTTTCGGGCGCTTCCATGGACCGCCCTCCCATTCCTACAGTTCAGACGCTGAGGTAACGGCCGCTCCTGCCTCAGGAGGTGTTCTGGCTTTCTGGCCGCTCCTTCGATGGAGCTCGGGGACGCTTCGACCAGGGGGCCCCTTCGTGGCCGAGGTTCGCTTCGGCCAGGGACGCCATTTCGTTCAGTATTCGGCGTTCCTTATGGTAGCGCGATGGCTGTAGTCGTCATTGGACGTTCCTTGGAGGATCACGCGCGGCGGTGGGATGCCGAGTATTGCGGAACAAGTCCGTCCTGATGTTTTCAAGACGTCGGGAGTTTGGGTAGCCTTTCTGCAAATCGGTTCCTCGGTTTTGTCCTTGGGCGTAAAATGCGGCCCGAATTTCGGGGGGATTTGGCCGTGTTGACCAGGGAAACACAGGCGCCCCCAAAGGGTCCAAAGGCGTCCACCAATTTCGATCTTCCATACAGTCAGCCACCATGGCAAATATGAAGAAGTTTCCAAGTCTACCCTTGCATCCTTGCCCCTTCGGCACATCCTTGCCAGCCTCGTTCAAAAAAAACGCCAACATGGACCTCCAGGGCCATTGCATCCCGACCGCGTATCCTTATTGTACGGGTTGAGAGTTGCTCAAAAGGGGCCCCTGGACCCTATCCTGGGTCCATCCTGGCTGGTTTTTCAAGTTGCTTCCAGCCGTGGCGCGGCCCCCGAGTGTTCAAAGCATGGGAAACGTAGAGGGGGGGAGGGAGGAGAACCGAGCATCGAGAACTGAATCTGGCCACGCACGGCCCCAGGCGAACCAAAAACCAAGAGGATGATGAGACCCTCCCCCTCCCCCGAGGGGCTGCCCAGGCGCCCCCGTCCCCCTCCCCTCCCTTCCCCTCCCCCCCCCATCGCCGCCCTCCTCCTCCTCCTCCTCCTCCTCCTCCTCCTCCTCCTCCTCCTCCTCCTCCTTCCCCCTTTTCCTTCCCTCTCCGCCCCCTCCCTGTCGCCCCCCTCCACCTCTCCCCCCCTCTCCCCCTCGCCCCTCCTCCCCCCCATCGCCCCCCCTCCCCCCTCCCCTCCCCGGGAGGCCGCGCCCGGGCGCCCCTCGCCGCGGCGGCCGCCGCGCCCGTGCTCCTGGCCCCCGCCGCCGCGCGGAGGCGGGCCGCGCGCGGGCCGCAGGAGCTCCCCCTCGGGGCCGAGACCTCCGAGGCCCCCAGTTTCGCCTCGCCCTCGCCCTGGCCCTCCTCCTCCACTTCACGGATTGAGGGCGTCTCCGTCTCAACATGTGGTTCTCGCTTCAGCGCCGCGCGCAGTTCTGCTCTAAACAAGTGCAAGAGTTTCACGGGTTCCCATGATCGACGTACCAGGAATGGTGTGTTGGAAGGAGTCACGATTTTGAGGGCGCAGCACTTACGATGGTTTGCGGAGTTGAGGTCCCAGGAATGGCGTTCTGGCACCACTCAGAATCGTCAACACGCAACACTCAGGTTCATCCGTGGCGTTGAAATACGGAGAATACTGCTTTGTCATGTTTCCGGGTCTTCAAACGGTTGTCTTCTTACGAAGCAGGTCCCTCTGTGGAAATGAACCGTTGTAGGGGCCTGTGAAGAGGGAGCTTGGGGGGAGGGTGTATTCCAACATCGTTGGTGACCCTTGGGTTTATGCTGCTCCTCGTCCTTCTCCTCCTCCTCCTCCTCCTCCTCCTCCTCCTGCTCCTCCTCCTCCTCCTCCTCCTCCTCCGTCTCGAGCGCCGGTGGCTTGCGCGGAGCGCAGGGAACGCTCGCCCTGATGGGCGGGACGCGGCCTCCCGCCCGATCCACCGCCTCGCTCGCTCCTCCTCCCTGGCATCGCTCGGACGTGTGCATTTTGTTCCTCCGGCGAGAACCATGGAGGACGATCCTGGACCATCGAGCGAAAAACACACACGCACTAGACTGACGAATGCACGGGACATGGACGTCCGAGCGATGGCGAGCCTCCGCCTCGAGCTCCAGAAGCGGGTCGGGCCGTGGGGGCCGGAGCCGCCCGCGGCCGCCGCGCCCGCGCTCGCGGCCCCGACCGTCGCGCGGAGGCCCCTCGAGGCCTCGGTCGGAGGCCCCCCCCCGACATCGCCTCCTCTCCTCCTCCTCCTCCTCTCCTCCTCCTCCTCCTCCTCCTCCTCTCCTCCTCCTCTTCCTCCTCCTCCTCCTCCTCCTCCCTCCTCCTCCTCCTCCTCCTCCTCCTCCTCCTCCTCCTCCCTCCTCCTCCTCCTCCTCCTCCTCCTCCTCCTCCTCCTGCTCTTCCCCCTCCTCCGTCTCGAGCACCGGTGGCTGGTCTGCCAGCCGAGGCCGGAGAGCCGCCCGCGGCCGCGCCGCCCCCGCCGCGCGGCGCGGAGGCGAGCGCCGCAGGCCCGGGAGGCCCTCGAGAGCTCCCAGGGCCTCCGGCGGGGCCCCCCGGCTCTCCTGGCCAGGAGCTGGGGCGCTCCAGAAAGCCTAAGGCCCCCTCGGATGCAACTCCTGGGAGGGCAAATTCTGATTTCGCCCTGGTCCGAAATCCGGCTGAATCTGGCTGAATCCCGCTTGCTCCCGCTTAGTCCGGCTTACTCCCGCCTGATCCGGCTTAATCCCGCTTAATCCCGCTTAATGCGAGGCCCAATCTGGCGTAACAGCGCCCCAGTGGGGCTTAATCCTCTTTGCCCCTTCCGACGAAGACCTCCCGGTAGTTGCCTCCTAAGGCCTCCCAGATGGGGTCGGAGTAGATGGGGTCGGAGGATGCGGCTCGATGTGGAGCCCGATGCTCTCGACGCCGACGTCGGCGAGGCATCGCCGACGTAGCCGATGCATCGCCGATGCATCGCTGGTGCGGCGCGATCCGTCGACCCCATCCGCTCGGACCCCCTCAAGGAGGCCTCTGCACGAGCTGTGGCGCGCCAGGGCCTCGCCGCCGGCGCGTCGCGCCGCCGGGTCGAGGCCGGCGGACGCAGAAGATGACGGCGGGTAACCGCCAGCGGAAGACGGCGGCAGGCGGCGGGTTTTTGTCCAGGCCTCGTGGTCTCCTGGGCCCTTGGCCTTCTCGAGGCCTGCCCGAGGTCTCCAGGAGGCCTCCGAGGACTCGGGGCCGGGCCGCCCTCAGGGCTCCGAGGGCCTCCCATGCAGACCTCCTGCACAGCTCGGTGGAGCGGACGTGCACTGGTCACAACGACGATCGGGAAGTATTCTGGCGAAGGGCCCAGACCATTTATGCGGATAACAGTATCGCAAGGCAGGTGGGACGAATGAGGGCCAGGTCTTGACGGGGCCACGAAACGTTTGAGGGATGTGCTGAAAATGGGTGCAGTGGCGCCATAAGAACGCAGCCACTGGGGCCTTGGGTGTAGCTCCCTGGTGGGGCCACGAAACGTGTGAGAGTGGGGGGCGAAATTTGCACGGCGGTGCCATGCGAACGCTTCCACTGGAGCCTTGGGTGGAGCTCCTTACAGGGGCACGAAACGTGCAGGTGGCGTGCCGAAACGGGCGCGGCGGTGCCATGCGAACGCTTCCACTGAGGCCTCCGTTGCCCATGATGTAAGCAGCACGGGGTGTTAGCGGGACAGGGGCAAGTGGTTACAACAGAAAGTGGTGACGCAGTCAGCGGTGCTCCGCAACGCGCGTTTGGGATCACACCGAGTACGCAGTTCGGCCAGCCGAGGGCACATCCCCGGTCCGTGCGAACCGAGGGTGCTGTGAACGTAGGTCTTGCGTGCACTTGCCATGGTTGGCGGCGCGCGTGGGCCTGCCTCGGGGTCCGACAGGCACTTCCCCCTGCGGGGGCCCTGGTTCTCACCCTGGGCTCAGTTTGGCTGCGGGCCTGTCCAGGGGCTCACATGAGTATCCTTTTGAGGTATTGCTGCGTGTCGCCCGGTCGCGTTTCGGCGCGGCCCGCCAGCTGTCCGAACGAGTTGGCGTCCTCCCTCGCTGCTGGAAAAGTGGCCTGACGAAGGACTTAGCACCGCAAGACAGGTGATACGAAGAGGAGGGGCGATCAAGCTACGGGTCGCATACGTTATGGCTTCTTCTTAAAGACGGTGCGCCACCAAAATGGATGCAAGTCGTGCCATGCGGGCGTTGGGCCGTCGGTGGAGCTCCCGTAGGGGGGCAGGAAGCGCGTGAGAGGCGTGCCAACATGGGGCAGGGCCGTCACGCTAGCACTGCCACTGGGGCCTTCGGTGGAGCTCCCCCTGGGGCCACGTAATGTGAGAGGGGGACGCACAAGTGGATCAAAGTCCGAATGCGGGCGCTGGCAGAGGGGACTTCAGTGGAGATCCCTTTCGGACCACGAAACGTGTGATGGGTGTGCCGAAATTGACCTGAGTCCGCATGTGTGTGTGTGTGTGTGAGCGGTGTGCCCGAATGGACCCGAGTCCACACGGGCGTTGCCACTAGCGCTTTCTGTGAAGCTCCCCCTCAGGCCACGAAGCGTTTGAGGGGTGTGCCAGAATTGGCATGGTCACGCACGTGAGCGCTGCTTTCCACCAGGGCCTTCTGTAGAGACCCCCTGCGGGGCCACGACTGGGCGTGATCAGTCGCACTAGCCCTGCCAGTTGGGTCTTCCGTGGAGCTCCTATGGGACCACAGACCTTTTGAGGGGTTTGCCAGAATGGGCGTGGTCGGGCATACGAGCCCTGCCACAAAACCTTTTGTGGATCTCCGGTGTGGCCGCGAAACGCGTGAGGGATGTGCCGGGATTGAGGTGGTAAGGCACACGAGCTTTGGTTTTTAGGCTTTCTGTAGGGCTCTTGTGGGTCCACGAAATGCACGCGGGGTGTACAAGATTTATGCGAACCCTGCCATGTCAGCCTCCTGTGGAGCTCCTATAGGGCCACAAAACGTGTTAGGTGTACCAGACTGTTGGTCATGCATACGAGCCCTGCTATTTGTGCCTTCTCTGAAGCTCCCATGGGTCCACGAAGCATGTGAGGGGTGTGCCAGAGAATGAACGTGGTCAGGCATGCGAGCCCTGCCACTGGGGCCTTTCGTGGAGCTCCTACGGGGCGCAATCGCAATCGGACCCCATCATCGAAGCGACGGCTGGCGTCTGGGATTGCCGCGGGGCTTCAGGAGTTACGCGATGTATTGTTTCAAGCTGGCCCAACCCATACCCAGGCCCACCCTTGACCCATCCCAGAACAGTCGTTTGGCGCTGCTCATACATGCTCTGATTCGCTCGCACTCAGACTCACTCGCACCCAGGCGCCCTTAACCAGATCCACCCACACCCAGACCCGCTCATACCGACTCTGAGGTACTCAAAAGCAACCCCCCCCCCACCACACACACACACACACACACACACGCACACTCCAACTCGCTCATATTCATAATCACGGCACTTTCGTCCACGCTCACGCTCACCGGCACCTCCTCATACGCATGCTCGCACGTGATCGCTCATTGGGGCCACCAGTGGTGCCCCACAGGTCTACTGCTGTCCGAACTTGTCGGACCCCCCAGGCAGAACGCCTTCCTTGCAACACGGACGCACCTGTCTTCATAGCCCGACGATCCCCGCGAGCTGGCGGGCGCTCTACACTCGGCGCGCGGCTCGACTGCGCGACTGCGACTCGGCGAGCACGCAAGTCTCTGCATGCCTCGGGTTGCGCGATGTTTGGAAAGGGACAGATCATGGAGGCCACGGCTTCACCCAGCCAGTCTTAACTAGGCCTTGTCGGTATTCGAGGCGGTGGCCGTTCGCAATTCGTTCGTTGGATCTCTCTCACCTTCCCTGTTCCACTGGCCGGAGGACGAGGAGGACTGATACTTTTTGGACGTGTCTACGTCGTCTCTGGCGATTGCCGCGGACTTCCCATGATTGCCAATGACCGCCCTTCGCAGCAGCTCCTCCCCTCTCGTCCGACGTCGAAATTTGTTCGTGACGTGGCCCCGGGGGATTTTCAGTCTGAGTAGTCTGTCCCGGTTCCTGTCGACCCATCCCCGAAAGTTGGCAGCTCCAAGAGCCCGGCAGCCGCGCATTTTTCGCGACGCCTGGAGCCGCCTTCCTGAGGTACATGATGCCGTGCCCCCGGAGGCACACCTGCCGTCGTGATTTGTGTCACAACGCTTGGGATGCAACTCCTGGGAGGTCAACTTCTGGTCTTGCCCTGGTCGGGAATCCGGCATAGTCCCGCTTAATCTCGCTTAATCCCGGTTAATGGGGCTTAATCTCGTCTAATCTGGCTTAATCCCGCGGCAGCCCCCCACTGGGGCTTAATCCTCCTTATTCCTTCCGACGGAGACCTCCCAGTAGTTGCCTCCGAACATCGCGAGGGGGCCTGACTCCTCTCCGCGCCGACGTCGCCGAGGCCTCGCCCACGCATCGCCCCGTGGGGGGCGGACGGAGGGCGCCCGCGCGAGCCCGGGCCGACAGGCGGCTGGGCCGGCGGCGGCGGAGGGCCCTGCTGCGCGCCCGGGCGGCGCCCCCGACGATGCCGCTGGTGGTGGACGGGGAGGCGCCCCCTCCCGGCGGGCCTCGTCGGGGGGCACCGAGGGGCCCAGAGATCCGAACGAGCGCGTTCTGTGGTCGCTTGGAAGGGGGGAAGGGGGTTCGAACCCCCCCCCCTTTCCCGTGACGGACGGGGGGGGTTGGACCCCTCCCCCAACCCCTTCCCTCCCCTCCTTCCCCTCTCCTCGGGCCGGCGCTTGCGTCGGCGGCGGCTGGCGGCGGCGGGGACGACGATTTCTTTTTCTGGGCCGGCGCCGGCGCGGCGCCTGCGGCGGCGGGCGGCGGCGGCGGGGAGCGTCGACGAGGACGACGGTGGTGGTGGTGGTGGGTTGTGGTGGTGGTGGTTGTGGTGGTGGTGGTGTGGTGGTTTGTTGTGGTGGTGGTAGTGGCTGTGGTGGTGGGGTGTGGTGTTGGTGTTGGTCGTCTGGTGGTGGTGTGGTGGTGGTTTGTGGTGTTGTTGTTGGTGGTGGTGGTGGTTTGGTGGTGGTGTGGTGGTGGTTTGTGGTGGTGGCGGTGGTGGGTTGTGGTGGTGGCGGTGGTATTGTGGAGGTGGTGCTGGTGGTGGTGGTGGTGGTGGCGGTGGTGGTAGTGGTGGTGTGTTGGTGGTTTGTGCTGGTGGTGGTGGTGGACTGTGCTGGTGGTGGTGGTGGTTAAGGCGGTGGTTGTGGTGGTTTGGTAGATTGGTGGTGGTGGTGGTAATGGTGGTGTGTTTTTGTGGTGGTGGTGATGGTGAGTTGTGGTGGTGGTGGTTTTGGTGGTGGTGGCGGTGGTGGTGGCGGTGGTTTGCGTTGTTGGTGGTGGTTTGTGTTGTTGGTGGTGGTGGTGGGTTGTGGTGGTGGCAGTGGTTTGTGGAGGTGGTGGTGGTGGTGGTGGTGGTGGTGGCGGTGGTGGTGGTGTGGTGGTTTGTAGTGGAGTCGGTGGGTTGTGCTGCTGGTAGTGGTGGTGGTTGAGGCGGTGGTGGTGGTGTGGTGGTTTGGTGGTGGCGGTAGTGGTGGTGTCGTGTAAAAATCAGAGTGAGGAAGAGGAGCGGTAGCAGTAGTAGTGGTGGTAGCAGTGATGGTATTATTATTATTCCCCACATCCAAAGTGGGGTTCTTGTTTTCTCTGCACACCCCCGCGCAGGAGAGAGATCTCACTCACCCCCTCTTCTCCTCGCACTCATTCACACACATCATCATCACTCGCACTCTCTCACACGCTCACGAACATCATCGTCATCATCGGTATCGGCATCATCCTCATTCAAACATCATCATCGCCACCACCACCCACAATCAATCATCATCCTCTTCACCACTCATCTTCACCACCACTCATCATCCTCATCCTCATCATCGTTGAGTAAAGTGTGAGGAAGTCTCAGGCGGGAGCCCCCTCCCTATGGGGCCCGCAGATCATGTTGGTAATCCGAGCGGGTCATCGGAACCCTGTAACTGTCGTCACTTTTGGGCTCCCCAGGCCTGAAAATGGAGGAAGTCTCAGGCGGGAGCCTCGTCTGTGAGTGAATTGGGAGGAAGTCTCAGGCGGGAGCTCCCTCCCTATGGGGCCCGCAGATTATGTTGGTAATCCGAGCGGGTCATCGGAACCCTGTAACTGTCGTCACTTTTGGGCTCCTCAAGCCTGAATATGGAGGAAGTCTCAGGCGGGAGCCTCGTCTGTGAGTGAATTCTGAGGAAGGCTCAAGCGGGAGCCCCCTCCCTATGGGGCCCGCAGATCATGTTGGTAATCCGAGCGGGTCATCGGAACCCTGTAACTGTCGTCACTTTTGGGCTCGTCAAGCCTGAATTTGGAGGAAGTCTCTGGCGGGAGCCTCGTCTTTGAGTGAATTGTGAAGAAGTCTCAGGCGGGAGCCCCCTCCCTATGGGGCCCGCAGATCATGTTGGTAATCCGAGCGGGTCATCGGAACCCTGTAACTGTCGTCACTTTTGGGCTCCTCAAGCCTGAATATGGAGGAAGTCTCAGGCGGGAGCCTCGTCTGTGAGTGAACTGCGAGGAAGTCTCAGGCGGGAGCCCCCTCCCTATGGGGCCCGCAGATCATGTTGGTAATCCGAGCGGGTCATCGGAACCCTGTAACTGTCGTCACTTTTGGGCTCGTCAAGCCTGAATTTGGAGGAAGTCTCTGGCGGGAGCCTCGTCTTTGAGTGAATTGTGAAGAAGTCTCAGGCGGGAGCCCCCTCCCTATGGGGCCCGCAGATCATGTTGGTAATCCGAGCGGGTCATCGGAACCCTGTAACTGTCGTCACTTTTGGGCTCCTCAAGCCTGAATATGGAGGAAGTCTCAGGCGGGAGCCTCGTCTGTGAGTGAACTGCGAGGAAGTCTCAGGCGGGAGCCCCCTCCCTATGGGGCCCGCAGATCATGTTGGTAATCCGAGCAGGTCATCCAAAACCTGTAACTGTCGTCAATGTTGGGTTCTCGCGCTGCCAGAACGCAGTTCCCAGGCCACACTTTGGATGCAACAAGGAAGTTTTTGGGCTCCTCAGGTCGCCGAGGTGCTGCGACAGGGCGCCGAAGGCGCCGACGACGACGGCCAGGCCGAGGCGCGGGCGCGGAGCTTGCTGATGTTCAGGCCCAGCGAAAGGGAGTTCACATGGCAGAGCTCGGGGGCGCACAGCGTGCGCCGCTCGGGGTTCACCCTGACGCACGCGTCCTACCTGACCTCCACGCTGTCGCAGGGCCAGACGCTGCGCAAGGGCGTCACCATCGACTGCGCGAGAGACGAGGACGCTGGCCGCACGGGCATGTCGGACGAGCAGTGGTGGCTGCACCTCTACGTCATGTTCTCCCGCGCCACGTGCATGCGGAACATGCTGATCCTGCGGCCGCCGCCGCGAGAGTTCCTGGAGTGCGGGCCGCCGGCGTCCCTGCGGAAGGCGCTCCTGGAGTTCGACAAGAGAGCGGTTTTGTCCAGGGCGGAGGCGAAGCAGCTCGCGGCAGAGCTGGGCTTCGTGCTGCCTTCCGCCTGAGCGCGGCTGCGCCTCGCTCGAAGCCCGCGGGGTTGTCCCAACGGCTTGGTCTTGCGCGCCAACGGCTCGCGGGGTTGTCCCGACAGCCTGGCCCGCGGGGTTGTCCCAACGGCTGCGCGACGTGACCTGTAGAGAACGCGCCTGTGCTGGCCGTGGCGGCGACGGCGCCGAGGAACATCGACATGCGCGCTCATGCAACAGGAAGGGGAGGAGGTGGCGGGGCGCGGAACAAACAGGGGGGCGAGGATGGGGACAACGTAAGGAGTGGAAGGGGGGCCCGCGCCAAGGCGAGAGGAAATATACGCAGAAGAGACAGCCAGGACGCCTCACCAACCACGAGGACGACGGTGATGGCTTTTTCCAGATTCGCCCAGAGGATTCTTATGTGGGGTTCTTCCGTCGGAGTAATTATTATTATTATTATTATTATTAGTAGTAGTAGTAGTAGTAGTAGTTTATTATTAGTAGTAGTAGTAGTAGCAGCAGCAGTAGTGATAGTAGTAGCAGTAGTAGTAGTAGTAGTAGTAGTAGTATAGTAGTAGCAGTAGTAGTAGTAGTAGTAGTAGTAGTAGTAGTAGTAGTAGTAGTAGTAGTAGTCGTAGTAGTAGTAGTAGTAGTAGTAGTAGTAGTAGTAGTAGTAGTAGTAGTAGTAGTAGTAGTAGTAGTAGTAGTAGTAGTAGTAGTAGTAGTAGTAGTAGTAGTAGTAGTAGTAGTAGTAGTAGTAGTAGTAGTAGTAGTAGTAGTAGTAGCAGTAGTAGTAGTAGTAGTAGTAGTAGTCGTAGTAGTCGTAGTAGTAGTAGTGGTGGTGGTGGTGGTAGTAGCAGCAATGCAAGGAGTAGTGGTCGTTGAAGTAGCAGTAGTAGTAGTAGTAATAGTGGAAGTAGTGGTAGCCGTAGTAGTAGTCGTCGTAGTAGTACTCGTAGCCATATTAGTATTTGTAGTCAGTGTAGTAGTAGTAGTAGTAGTAGTAGTAGTAGTAGTAGTAGTAGTAGTAGTAGTGGTACCAGTACGAGTACTAGTACGAGTACGAGTACTAGTACTAGTTCTAGTACTAGTAGAAGTCGTAGGAGGAGTCGCAGTAGTAGTAGTAGTAGAAGAAGAAGAAGTAGAAGTAGCAGTAGGAGTACAAGTAGTCGAATGGGCAGTAGACGTAGTAGTTGTAGTAGTAGCAACAGCAGCAGTGGTAGTAGTAGTAGTAGTAATAGTAGTAGTAGTAGTAGTAGCAGTAGTAGTAGTAGTAGTGGTAGTCGTAGTAGTCGTAGAAGTCGTAGTCGTAGTAGTAGCGGTCTGGCGTGACGTTGTGATGCCTGTCTCGTGTGATACGTCGACCAATAAGTCGTTGCTCCGCCTGTTTGGTCCAGTGGCCAGCCTGACCTCGGCGCGCAGGTTGCGTTGAATAATATTATAGGACGGCGTATCGGGTCATGAGTGTCCTCTGCAATTATGGTATGTGCCGTTCTAAAGTATGCTATTCTGCTCTGCGGCACCGTGCTACAACATGTCATGTGTTGTCAGTAAGGTTTCGGTTATCCGTTGCTGATTGATGATGTTTACGTTATGCTGAGCATGGTTAAATATATGATGCGCTATGGCATGGCATACCTTTTTTCCAGGAGGTATAGTAAATGATGTTGTGTCAAGCTCGTTGCCGTAGGAGTATCAATATTGAGAGAGTTATGCTATGGTGCGCTGGTCACGTTGTACTCTGTGTTGGGTTTATTTCATTATACAATTTTCGGTTATCCTCTGCAATCTGCAATCTAGTAAAAGTCTACGATGTTTGAGTGCACCCGTTGCCGTCGTGGTAGCAATCGTAAAACAGTTCCGGTACACTCTGCTCTGATCTGTGATGATGTACGCTACTGTGCTGCGCTATTTCATGGTTGGCTTTGTTATTTGATGCTATGTTCAATGCTGCGTGCTGTCATGCTCTTCTCTGCCAGGAAATGGTATTTGATCCCTTCCCGTGTCCTTCTACGCTACAGCATGTTATGCCGAGATCCATCATGGTATGCTTTGTAATGTTCTGAACGGCTGCAGCCCTGTGCTATGTTATGAATGTAGGCGTGTGCAATCATATGCTATGTTGTGTTACGCCATGTTCTGGTGTGCTCTGTCCGTTTTTGGTATGGCGTGTGGTGTTATGCTATGCTCGGTATGCTGCATGTTGTCGTTGCATGCGTTGTTATGATGTGTCATAGTATGTCCTGTTGTGGCATGCCCTGAAACTGAAAGATCATGTGGTGTAATGTTTTGGCATTATGATATTGTACGGCATGCTATGCTACAGTAAATGATGCGATGCTCTGTATGGTATGAGTTGACATTGTATGGAATGCTATGAGCCTCTCATGCCGTGCTACGGTGTGACCTGTTCTGCCATGGTGTGTTCTGGTATGGTACGTTATGTCATGGTATGTCATGGTATACTCTATTGTGAAATCGTATGGAGTGTGGCGTGATTCATTGTGTTGTATGATCAAGTTTGTAATCGCTTACGTTGGTTTGCTTTGCCACGCAACATCTTATCCAGCGCTCCGTCTTGTTATGATGAGTCATCGGTGCTGCGATGCTATATATCATGTTATATGTGCTGTGATGCTGTATTATGTTGTGGTGTTGCCAGCAACGTTATGCTATTGTATGATATGTTATGCCATGTTATGGTATGGTTTGCTATGTCATGTTATGTATGCTCCGACATGACATAACAAATGTTGTGTTGGTAGGGCCTTCTATGTTATGATATATCATGTTAAGTGAGGCCGTGACATGTTCTGTTCTGGTGTGCTCAGTTATGCGATGTTTCCGCATCGTAGGTTTGTTTTGTCATGCCATGAAATGTTATGTGCGATGAAGCTGTGCTATGATATGCACTGGCCTGTCATCATGTGTCATGTTACGATGTGGTCTGACACGCTCTGGTATGCTATGCCCGGATGTGTTATGTTCGGTGTTGTGGTGTTGTACTATCTTCTTCCACAGTTAACAAAGTTGTTCTGTACCATGTTCTACTATTTTGATGATGTCGCTCTGTCAGGTCATGATTTGTCGGCGCGAGGCGGGACTCGGGGACACCGAGGGGACCTTGGGATCTGGCGTCCGCGGTATGCAGAGTGGCGCAAGGCGGGACTCGGGGACATTCGGGGGACCTGGGGATCTGGTGGCTGCGGTATGCACAGTGGCGCAAGACGGGACACTCGGGGACATTCGGGGGACTTGAGGATCTGGCGGCCACGATGTGCAGGGTGGACGGGGCGAGAGATCTGCTCTTAAATCCTAACGACCCCAACCTGTCTGGTGTGGAACGAGGTTCATCAGGGGGGAATGCAGGTTCTGAGGGTTAGGATGTTTTCGACGATTGTCCGATGATTTCCATCCTCGGGATGTTTTCCAGCGGCTTCGCCTCGCCGTGAGAGCTCCTGGCCATGGGGTTCCCCGATCGCCCCGAACGGCCCCGCGGAGCGCAGCGACACGCTTTCCGCTTGCAGGGCACAGCGTATCGCCGGGGCCGCAGCCGCGACACGCTGAGCAGAAGTGCCGGACTGTGGGCTCAGGCGGAACGCATCGACCCCCCATCGGCGACTCGTCTCCGATAGGGGCCGGATGGCCACCCCGCACAGGAGCGCGTGGTTTCTCTGTCTCGGGGGCCGATCTATCGCCAATGTACCGGCGATGCATCGTCGATTCAGGCTCGAGGTTTGCCCCCTGAGCTGGACCCCCCCTACAGTTCCCCTTCAACCTCGAGGATTGAACTACGAGGATCGAACGTCGAGGATCGAACTTCGAGGGTCGAGGTCCCTGAAGCCTTTGGGCGTTCTTGCTGGGCCTCCCGCTCGTGGCCACTGCTGAGGTCCCCATGGAATTCTGGCCAGGATTCCATTTGCATGGGAAGTCTCCGCTTGGGTGAACGGCTAATCACAGCACAGAGTACAGCATTTGAGGTCTGCGCGGGTTTCCTGGGTCGAAGTTAGACCCCACCACTGACGGCGAGTCGACGCCACCGCTGGAGCCAGAGGCGCGTCGGTGGGGGGGGCAGAGACCCAGCTCTCAGAAAGTGTGTGTGTTCATGTAGACTGGTGTTCCTTGAATGATTAAGAGACCACCGGTCAGGTTGCAACTCTTGGGAGGTTGAGGCAGCCACCTGGTAAATGATTCCTTGGTGCCGGTCCGGCCTGACCAGGACTGCTCTGGCCTACCACTACTTTCCCATCCGTGTCTAGCACAGCTTACCTGGCTTACTCCCTGGCGGCGCCTCAGGCGACGCCCCCCGCGCTGGAGGCTCGCTTGGGCGGAGGGGGTCCAGCGCAGATCCAAGAAATCCGAGGGGACCTAAGTTTGTGCCCGATCCGTGGGAGTGCTCCATTCGGCGGTCCACGTTCGATCCATGCCCCAGCTGCTGTTCCCCCACTCTGGCCGCTGCACGGGGGCAGGGCACGGATGAAGAAGTCCGGGGGCCGGAGCTCTATCCATGGCCCCGCGCCGCCTTTTCGCCTGTGGCGCGAGAAGGGGCATGGAGGGACCGTCGATCGCTCATCCTCGCCTCGCGCAGTCACCTGTCCCCGTCCACCTCCCAGGGTCCAGGTTCATACCATCGATCCGATCCGATGTCGGTCATGGCCATTTCGATCGGATTCGACTCCGATGTCCTGACGTTCTGGTCCGGCTCGGTGGTCACACGGCGCTGTCACGCAGCTCGGCGCAGCCGATCCGATTCGATTTCGATTCTTTGCTAATGCAGCCCGATCCGACGCACATCCCCATTCGATCCGCGATTTCCCGATTCGATGCTGACTGGTCCTGACCTCCCCCGTCCCGCCGCCCGGCAGGCCATCCGCACCGACTCAAGCTTCACGGTGACCAGCCCCGCCGACGGCACCGTTGTTGGGTTCGCGTCGCAGGCGACCGAGGAGGTTCCGCCGCCGAAAGCTGGAGCAGGAGGATGGCGAGGAGGGAGGAGAAACGAGGAAGGAGTTGGCGTCGGAGTTGGTGTTGGAGGTGGGCGTGCTGCTCGGGAGAGACGCAGCTGAGCCGAGCGAGAGCAGCGACAGGCGCATCGCTGTCGCCTCCAGGATCTTCGGCGAACAGGCAACGGACCTTGGCATCGCTCGGACGTGTGCGTCCTGGATCATCTGTCGAACCATGAAAGCACAAAGCCGCGAAAATGCACGCAGAATGGAAGTCCGAGCGATGGCGCGTGACACAAACATAAACCCTTCGGTGCGCGGGTTTCTCGGATCGGCGCTGGATTTCTCCAGTGGCGGCGCCAGAGGCGCCGCCCCTCCTGGCGCGCTCCGCGCGCCAGGTAGGGAGGGGGCCCAGCGCCGATCCCAGTCGTCCGCGCGGACCTCCGACAGTTGACGTATGTCACCTGCTGGTGCTGCCGACTGCTGCTGGGGGTGGAGGAGGGGGGATGGTGGTGTTTCCTTATTCGTTGTTTTGCCGACTGGCGCGGGCCCTCGCTCCCCCGTATTGGCTGTTCTTCAGGCTTGTTTTGGGCAGGTTCTGCCCCACAGGACGCACTGTTGCAAACTGTCGCGCTAAGCAGATGTCCGAAACCAGAAACCTCCTCCGCCCCCCCTTCTGCCCAATGTCGGAACGCAGAATAAAAAAAACGCTCACATGAGTGATGAGGGGTGAGGAGGTGTCGCTGGCGCACCAGTGTTGCAACACTACACCAGCGCACGCGTGCGATGTTGCACCCGAGCCCACCGTGACAGGGGGCTCCGCCACCAGACCACGCCCGAGGTGGTCGACATCCCTGCTCATTTGTTTCCCCCCACCTCCACCTCCGCCTCGGCCTCACCAACACCATCCCCATCCCCATCCCTCATAGGGGCACTGGGGTTCAGCGCGGACCTCTGAAGCTCACTTCAGAACTTCGGAGTGTGACTCATGCGAGATATCGGTTCGTTAATCTCTGACCCAACCACCTAGCCCCTTAGCACTGCGGTGGACTCGCGGTGCGCTCAAGAGTCGAACCTGGACAGCTGAGGTAGTCCACCCTTTTCTATGGTCATCTGTCAATGTCCTTGCGTGCTGATTCTGTCGATATACCTATATGTATAGATGGTTGTATGTATGTATGTATGCATGTATGTATGTATGCATGTAGGTAGGTATGTGTATATATGCATGCATGTGTGTATATATGTATGCATGCATGTATGTGTTGTTGTGTGTATGGATGTATGTATGTATGTGTGTGTGTATGTATGTATGTATGTATGTATGTATGTATGTATGTATGTAGGCATGTATGTATGTATGTATATGTGTATGTATGTATGCGTGCGTACATGTGTGTGTATGTATGTATGTATGTATGTATGTATGTATGTATGTATGTATGTATGTATGTACATACGCACATACGTATGTATGTATGTATGTATGTATGTATGCATGTATGCATGCATGCATGCATGCATGCATGCATGCATGTATATATGTATATATGTATGTATGTATGTATGTATGTATGTATGTAGGTATGTATGTATGTATGTATGTATGTGTGTATGTTTGTATGTATGTATGTATGTATGTATGTATGTGTGTATGTATGTATGTGTGTATGGATGTAGGTCTGTATGTAAAGTATGTAATGTGTGTATGCATGTATGTATGTATGTATGTATGTATGTATGTAGGTAGGTAGGTAGGTAGGTAGGTAGGTAGGTAGGTATATATGTAGGTATGTATGTATGTATGTATGTATGTATGTATGTATGCATGTGTGTGCCGTTATGTATGTATGTATGCATACATGCATGTATGTATGTATGCATGCATGCATGCATGTATAGGTGCATGTATTTGTATATGTGTATATCACACTCCCTCTTCCTCCTCTCTCTCTCTCTGTTTCTCTCTCCCTTCCCACTTCCTCCGGAGCTTTGCAATGTACGTATGTATGGTGCTCTCGTTCCTGTGCGGACTTGGTTCGGAAGATACTAAGAATATGACGGCGCCAGGGGGGGCGGCAGGATGTATGGCTCGTCAAGCGCAGGGCGCAGATGGCAATGAGCGCTGGAAGTGAGGACACGACCCAACAATTCCACCTCCCCCTCAATCGATTAAGGCACCTTTCTTCTGGCAGTTGCGCCCCTGTCGTCGATGGCCTCCTTCCCTTTGCCGCGGTGGCTCCAAGCGGTTCCTTCGATTCGTATATTTGCGCGTTGTTTGAATTGTCTTTCCAAGCAGGGGGCGGCAGACGCGAAGTAAAAACATCCGGGATCGCCGCCCCCCCCCTTCCCGTTGGACAAGGGATGGGGTCGGAAGATGATGAGGGGGACGTGGACGGGGACGAGAAAAGCAGTTGGGTTGACGGTGATAGCGACGACGATGGTGGCGATTGCGAGGATGACGATGATGACGACGAAGCTGATGCTGGTGACATTGACGTTGGCGATTGCAACGACGGTGGCGAAGGTGGCGACCACTGTGATTACATTGGCGACGTAAATAATAACGCCTGTGCTAAGGATGGTGATTGAGATCGTGATAGGGGGATGGTGAAGACCGTGGTGGTGCAGATAATGATTGTGATGATGCTGATGATGATGATGATGATGATGATGATGATGGTGGTGTTGCTGTTAATGATGATGTTGATGATGATGATGATGATGATGATGGAGATGGCGATGATGATGAGGATGAGGAGGATGACGGGGCTGGCGCTGATGATTGTAGTGATGATGAGAATGATGACCTGATGCTGATGAAGATGATGGTGATGATTCTGGGGGTGATGGTGATGGTGATGTTGATGTTGATTCTGAGTACCATCATAATGATTGCGATGATGCTGATGATAAGGATGACGCTGACCGTGATGATGACACAGGTGTTGATGACGATGATGCTCAAGACGATACAGATGCAGATGCAAGTGCAGGTGCAGATACCGATGCTGCGCATGCGGACGAGCATAGTGCTGATACTAATGATGGTGTGAGCGATGATGATGCTGAGGGTACATGTAGTGATGCCGATGATGATGCTGATGATGGTGTTGATGATGATGACGCTGATGATGGCGATGATGATGATTATGATGATGATGTTGTTGGTGGTGGTGATGATGACGATGCTGATGCTGGGGATGATGTTGGTGGTGCTGCTGATCGTAGTAGTGGTGATGGTGAGTGTGGTCGTATTGACGAACAAGTGATCCAGAGGGAGGAGGGAACGCAGAAGGAGGATGAGGCTGGGGGTATTTGAAGAGGTGGATCACGAGAAGGAGGATGACAATAGAGAGAAGAGTTAGAGGGAGAAGAGAGAACGAGGAGGAGTGGGGGAACATGCGAGGGCGGATGGAGTGAGGAAATCGGAGGCCGTAGGAGAGGGGAAGCAGGACGTGGGAGGTGAGAGGTAAGAGGGAGACATATAGAGAGAGAGGAACAATGACAGAGAGAGACATAAAAAGAGAGAAGATGAGAGAGAGAGAGAGAGAGAGAAAGAGAAACAACAAACAAAAAGCAACAATAGACGAGACACCAAACCCACATAACACGAACGAGATAATGAGAGAGAGAGAGAGAAGATATTCGCGCCTCACGTAAGAAGGCCCAGGTCACGTAAGAAGACCCAGGTCACGTAAGAAGGTCGCGTTGGAGTGTTAGCCACCGCTCTCGCGCGGGGCCGCATCGCTTCGGAAAGAGAAGGGAATTAACGAAGAATGATGATGAGGAGGAGGAGGATATGAAGCTGGATGATGAGGAGGAGGAGGAGGACGAGGAGGAGAAAGAGGAGGAGGAGGAGGAGGAGGGGATGATGAGGAGGAGGAGGAGAAGGGGGAGAGAGGAGCGAGGATCGAAGAGCGAGGAGGGATGGGGGAGACAGCGGGGAGGACGGAGGTGGAAGGAGGGAGGGGCATGGATGAGGGAGGCTTGAGGGAGGCTTGAGGAGGGAGGGAGGGAGGGAGGAGGGGAGGGACAGGTTTTTTTCGGGTTTGCGATGGATCACGAAATTTTGCTCGCTGGGGGCCTGTGCGGTGAAGGCTTTTGGCGAGGCGCAGAAAGAAATTCCTCAGGTCGCTGTCCAGCGTACTATTGCCAGGTCATTGGTGTCGGCAATATTCGAAGAGGACTTAGGCCCAACAATTCTCAAGAGACTAGCCAAGTGGACAGGCAGGCAACCTTCCACGCAAGTTATTGCGGATATGAGTTGGCCGATGTTCCGAGAGTTTCTGCAGCCGCTTCCCCCAGCTCGACAAGGTTCGGCCATGAAGACGTTGGTGGGGGGGGCTACGGAACGGAGGATGACGCAGACCGGCAGTGCCTGCAAGTTTGGCTGCTCAGAGTCGGTGGACGCGCAGTGCCATTACATGTCGTGTCCACTGCTCTGGGGGGCTATCTTGTCAGTGTGGTGGCCCCCAGATCTCGGTCGAGAGTGTTTTAGACAGAAGACATGGCATCGCTCGGGCGATGTCTGACCCTCACAGGGTCCTGGCGGTCCACAGGCTGGTGTTCAGTTTTTATTCGTATGACTCGATCCGTCGGTCTCCAGGGGTCTCGCTTCGCAGATGCATGCGCGTGTCTCCGGCGCCCAGCTGCTTCAGCAGGCTGAGCCCGAGGTGCGATGACATACGACATCATTCCGAGCTGCATGGGAGGAGGAGGAGGAGGAGGAGGACCAGGAAGAACGAGGAGGGGGAAGAAGGAGGGAGGAGGGGGGGGAAGGAACGAGGGAGAAGCCAGAGAGAAGCGAGGGAGGCAGGAGATCGGCCCGGCCGAGGGGGGCGAAGAGAGCAGCGCCCAGGTGATCGAGCGCGCCGTCGTGTCCGCGAGCCGGGCCCAGCCGCAGTGGCGAGCGCCGGGGCGGGGGAGCGCCCTTCCCCTCCCCTGTCGCCCTGCCTCCTCTTCTCGCCTCCCTCCCTCCTCGCTCCTCGTCGCTCGCCTCCTTCCCCCTCCCTCCCCTCCCCTCCCCTCGCCTTGCCCTCCTGGCTCCTGCCTCCCTCCCTCCCTCTCGTCCTTCCTACGCCCTGCCCCTCCTGCGAACTGGAGGGGGCGCGCCCAGGGGGCAGGCGGCCAGGGGTCTCATCTTAACGCTCCGGCGGCTTGGGCATACAGCGAAAGATGAGTGTCCTGCCTGCTCCCTCTCTCCGACTCTGTCTGCCTCTCCCTCTCCCCTCGCGACCTGTATCTTCAACCCTCGTCCTCTCGAGCAACTGGTTGTGTCCCTTCGGTATTTGGTCTCTGCCTCTCCGCCCGATCGTGTACTGGCTCAATGTTTCACTTATAGCCGCTCAGGTGTATCTCCCACACCTTCCCCACCTTCACCCAGCCCCCGCCCCTCCCCCTCCTCCTCAACCTTTTCTAGTTGGTACGCTTGCCTCCTCATCCTCATCTCCGTTTATCCTCGTCATCCACCTAGGAATGGAGAGGGGTGAAAGAGGATGATGATGATGATGATGAGGAGGAGGAGGAGGAGGAGGAGGAGGAGGACGAGGAGGATGAGGAGGGGGATGGGGGAGAGAGAGGAGGTGTAGGAAGAGAGGGAACGGAGAAGGATGAAGAGCACCACGAGGGGGAGGGAAGGAGGGAGAAGGATGAAGAAGAGGAGGAGGACGACGAGAACAAGGAGGAGGATAAGGAGAAGGAGGAGAAGGATGAAGAAGACGAGGACGAATCAGATGAAGAGAAGGACAGCCGCCAAGAAGAGAGGAACAGGTTCTAATTGCGTTCGCAATGATTTGTTCCAGGTTGCACCGTATGGGCGCATTCTAAAATTGCATTCGCTCTTTGTCAAGATTGTTATTGCCTCCAGGGAGCCCTTCCTGTTCAAGGGAGGATGGGAATTTGACTTACGTATGTCAGGGTATCCGGAGCCCCATGGAGCATTACAGAGGTATCTTACGAGGCTGCCACGCTGCGAAGTTGCAACAAGCTTCTAGAGGCATCCTTACACATGCCATTGGAGATCCAGCAAGGTGGACTCCCAGATAGATGCACCGATATCGCATCCTTGCACTTGCGTTCGGCCATGATGGTGGCGCGTGCTTGGGATCCCTTTCCTGTCGCTGCTCACGGGTCGCAAGGCCGCCTTCTGTTTTATCGGTCATCAAGGGGTTCCGGTCGAGAATGCTTCAGAGTTGCGAGAATATCCAGGGCACGTTGGCGGAGCTCGAGGTGCCAGAATGTTTCGAGCCCTGCTGCCACGCTCTCGTCGCCACGCTTGGGGCCTTAGATGCGCTCGGAAAAGCATATCTTGGTAGCCGCCGTGGACGCTATGGAGTGCAATTGGTTCCAGGTCCGTGGCAGATCTATAGCTGGTTCGCCCAAAATGGGGACTCGCCGTGGCATCCCCTTCGCGGATGTACTGCTCATCGTAGTTTTCGACCCCATCAGTTGTGGCATTAACTCGCGGACGGCTGCCTTGAGAGATCTCCAGAAGATTGTATGTATTTCCGTCTCAGAGGATCTTTCGAGAACGCGAGCACCAGCACGAAGTTGAGGATGTCTGGGGCCCTGCATTAATGGATGATTATGTCAATGGTATTGGGTTGGAAGATGCTAGGTCTTGGAAGGAGGCTGCCATTGTCTTGGTTCAGATCTCCCATGCAGAAACTAAGTACCGTGGATGTTTTAACGAATCGGGAGCTTGGCAGGACGGAGCTCATGGCCTTCTTCTGTGGTGCAGGTTCTAGGAAAGGCTCGAGCGAAATGTGCGGCAGTGGTTGCTACAGGTCTCCTCGTGCCCTCCTTGGGCGTGTTCCCATGCCCCATTCGGACCTTTCAACCTGGGGAGTTACCAGGATGAAGAAGATCTCCATTATGTGACCCGAGCTAGCACATCGATGCCATCAACAGCGGCATCCCCTGGGAATTCTGGAGCGAGAGGCTTGTCCCAGGGAGCAGGTTGACCCTCAGGCGAAGTTCATGTATGGTGTTTCTTCTCTGTGCTCGTCGCATGTGTTACTTAATGCGTTGGCGTGGCCACAACTGAACGTCAAGCAGCAGGCCATTCTTGCACATAACTACTTGAGTCCCTTTTGTGCTGCGGCTGGACTCGGGTGCGATTCGGCGTCGGCACAGCTGCTGCGGACCATAGGTTTTTCACAGCATGTGTTGCGGTCAGTTGAGCTGGTGCAAGGCTCAGACGATTGCGTCTCTTGCCCAGGCTCCCGACGTCGGCGCCGGTCTGCGGATATTGGCCTTGCTTGACGAGCTCCGCCCCCTCCCAGAGATTCCTCGGCCGCCCAGTACTGCGAGGATCTGCTCTTGCTGGGCTCGCATGTGGATCTAGCCAAGAAGCACCTTCCTCGGAAACTGGAGCGTATACGTTACCAGTGGCGGGCTGTTTTGCAATCCCAGGAAGTTTTGAGGGTCGGGGGCGACGTCGGGGTGGTGTGGTGTATACTTGTTTCCCTTTTGTCTTTTGGAAACAACGAAACATGTATACACCAGGATCCCGTATACACCAGGATCCGCTTTCTTGTGCGAGTTCCAGTGCGGGGCCGGAAAAGGCGTCGGAGTATAGAGTTCGGTGCTTTGGTTTCCCTCACGCCCACCAGCCTGGTGGATGTGGCTCCTGAGGGCTCACGGTAGGGAGTTCTGGAAGAGGCTGCGCAGACAAGCGGAAGCTGCTGCCAGAGCGAAGTTCTCAGATGGTCACCGCCGCCATGACGAATTCAGAGGCGGGTTGAGGCGGCCTGCGTTTCCAAGAGCCTCGCTCCCCCTGAACCCTCCTAAACCCTAAACCCTAGAGCCTTGCTCCCCCTGAATCCCTTCGGCCGCCGTGGGGCGCAGGCATCGTGTCCTTGCCTTGGTTGCGGGACGGCGTTGGCGACTACGGGCGCGTGGGCTGCCCATCGTGGAGTGCCATCCTCGCTTTGGCCCCGCCCCGATGCATATTCGTCTGGTGCCATAAGCGTGGCCTGCTGCACGAACTTTCCTACACACCAGAGGTTTGCTCAGACACGTTCGGCATGGCTCGTCGAAATGTGTGGCCGACATGATGGCCGTCATGCCCATGATGCGCGCCGAACACGTCACAGAACAGACGTCGGGAGATGTTGAGTTTGGTCGTTCCTTGCGTAGCGAAGGCCCCTATGCAGAGTCAGCTCAGAGCTCGCCTGTTCTTACCGCGGGGCCCTGGCTGAGAGGCGCAGCCGCATTCATCAAGGGATTCTCGACTACAGTGGCTAGAGAGCTTTGCCGCGCCGTGAACGTCCAAGACGAGATGCTCACCCAGGTCCTGGCCATCCTCCCCCAGCTCCCTGGCACTGAGTATATCCTTATTCTTCGTGACGCCCCTCGGGGTCTTGGCGATGTCCAGTCCTTTGCCGGGGAATTCGAGCGCCATAGCGGGGAGAGGTGTTTGGGTACTCTCCCTTGACCTCTTCGACTGGTTCCAGAAGGATCCCGAGGGTTGAAAGGAAGACAGTCGGCTGTCTGAGAGCTGAAGTCTGCTTGGTCGTATGGTGGGGCTCTTAGCCGACCCTTTTCAAACCTCGTGGGGCCCCGCCCCCGTTGCAAAGCCAGGGTTTGGGCGAGCAGGCCTCGAAGGAGCCGCGGTGAGCCGTGGGGTATCTCTGCCAGGTCGCCCTCCGAGTGGAAGCAGCCAGAGCTCGACAACACCTGTCTTGAATGCGGCACCGGCGCTTGCGTGGTGCTCGGCACCCTCGGGGCTAGCGACCCTGGTCACTTTCAGATCCCCCGCTCGGCATGCCCGCCAGCCCTGCGTGTGGAAGGTCCCCGAGGATCGCCTTGTGCGTTCCCTGTTCGGCCGTGCCTCCGGCGCTCTCGCCGAGCTGTGCGCCCATCTTGGGAACCCCGAAACCGGGTGGTGAGATACCAGGTGGCGACCTGGAATCCCCAAAAAGGTCACCGCTGGGTTTGGGGACGCGGGGTCACCACCGGGTGTTGTGACTCCTGGACCCACCCAGTGTCCGGGACATCCTCGGAAAACCGCACGAGTCCCCAGACCGGGTGGTGACACCAAATCGCCCGAGACCCACCGCCAGGTGTTGTCACCACCACGTTTGGGGACTACCAACCATCGGGGGCCGCCAGTGCCTTCGCTCGCACGCCGCACCTGCGACAGCCCCACCTGGCAGCAGCCAGGTCGACGATTGCCTCGCTGCTGCAATGGCCGCAGCTGCGCTTCGCCACGGTGCGCCCCCATGCTCCGCGGGGATGCATGGGTCTCCTCCTCCTCCTCCTTCCCCTCCTCGTCCTCCTCCCCACTCCTCCTCCTCCTCCTCCTCCTCCTCCTCCTCCTCCTCCTCCTCCTCCTCCTCCTCCTCCTCCTCCTCCTCCTCCCCCTCATCCTCATCCTCATCCTCATCCTTCTTCTCCTCCTCCTCTTCCTCCTCCTCCTCCTCCTCCTCCTTCTCTTCATCCTTCTCTGACAGGGAATGTCCGTCTCCATTCCCTGCCCGAACGTCACTGCCGGTTGGGATGGTGTCGGCCATCGCTGCTACCCTGCTCCTGCCTCTGCCTCGCCGCCTCTCTGACCGCTGACATATGCACGTGTGGACACCTGTCAGGTGTTCGTCTTCAGGGCCGTGGGAAAGAGGAGGAGCACGGGCGGGAGGGGAAGGAGGAGGATGTCGAGGATGGCGGAGGGGTGAGTTGCGGAAGAAGGGTGTGGAGGAGGAGGAGGAGGAGGAGGCGAGTGGTCGTGGAGGGAGGGACGAGCGATGAGGATTGAGGGGTGAAGGGAGGAGAAAGAGCGTGAGAAGGAGCAAGAAAAGGACCAACATACGCCAACATTGCGTCAACGATGCTGCAATACAGCCACCCGTCCCAAACGACCTCCCCGCTCGCCCCTACAAGCTCTTTTTGTCACTACAAGCGGCGCCCCCTTGAAATTGGGGCCTGCCATGTTGGAAAGGCCCCGCATTAGAGGGAGTCGACTTGCATATTATCGACGCATAATCAGGCTGGCGAAAAACAAGAAGCACACAGCCAAACAAGGTACCCAGGTTCGAGGAAAGACCGCCCGCCATCAATGTAATTGTTGCGCAAGCTTACACTAGTGAACATGAGTTAATTGTGGAGAAGTCTCAAGTGACCCATGCAGCGCTATGTGCGTTGATGATCCGGATATGTATGTTAACGGCGTCTCGGGCGAGGTCTCTTCTTCACAAACGGGTGGCCGCCCCTAAAAGATGCATAACAAACAAACGCGCGGCGCTGGAGAGATAGCCCCATTTGAAAACGACCACTGCTCAACCCTTCAAACCGTTACGACGTTTCGGGTTGAATGGCAGCGGCGCCCAGGCGTGAGCCACACTTTGAAAACGACCCCAATCCGTGCAACGCACTCGAGCTTTGAGCGCGCTTGTGCGCAGCGCTGAGGCAGCAGAAACCCTTCGAGAACGACCCGCCTCCACCGGTTACCTTGGTGCAGATGTTTCAGACGAGTGTGCGTCGGCGATAAGGCGGGATTTTTTTCTTGAAAGCCACCCCCCTTCAATATTCGGGGGTTGATAGACCTCCTACCCTGACACGTCGATTAGCGAATTGGCCGTTTTCGGATCGCGAGAGGGCGTCGCGGCCGTCATTTTTGCGGGTCCAGGTCCGTCGGTTTCGGTCCTACGCTGTTTTCACTAGGGCGAGGTTTACTCAAGGGAGGTTTGTCCACCGCCGAAATATGTGGAACCGTTACAAGCTCGTGCGACGAATGGTCGCGGCGCTTTGGCGTGAGCAGCAGTTTGAAGACGACCCCCATTCATGCGTGAAATTTGTTGGCAGCCTTCCAAACGAATGCGTGCGGCGCTAAGGCGAGAGTCACGTCTGCCATCCTCATCCATCGATGGAGTTGTTGCAAAGTTTCCCTCGAGTGTGCGCGGCGCCAAGGCGAGAGCCACACCTTGTACAGGAGCAGCCTTCCATTTCTGCAGCGGCTGCAAGTTTTAAGATGAATGTGCGCAGCGCTACGGCGAGAGCCACATTCTGATAATCAACCCGCTTTCATCTGTGAAGCGATGTAGGCGCTCCTTACGAATGGACGAATGTTCGCGGCGCTGAGGCGAGAGCCACATGTTGAAAACCACCCCCCAATATATCCGCTAAGCTGCTCGAAAGGTTTAGAGCACGAGTGCGCGCGGCGCTGAGGCGAGAGCAACATTTTGAAAACGACCCTCTATCCGCGAAACTGTTGCAACTGTCTTGCACGACTATGCGCTGCGCCTTTGCGAGATTTTAGTTTTGCAAACCACCCTTCTCCACCCATGAAGCTGTTGCAAAGTTTTCACACGAACGGATGCGGCGCTAATGCGAGAGCCACATCTTGAAAAAGAGCTGCCGTCCACCTGCGAAGCTGCTGCAAACTTTGAACACGAATGCGCCAGCGTTGAGGAGAGAGCCACATTTCGAAAACCACCTGGCCCTCCATCCGTGAAACTTCGCAGGCTTTTGGAGCACATGGGCGCAGCGCTGAGGCGAGAGCCACATTTGAAATGACCCCCCCGCTCATCCGCGAAACCGCCGCACGCTTTTACATGACGAATGTGTGTGTGTGTGTGTGTGGCGCCAGGGCGAGAGCCACATTTCGAAAGCAACCTTTTTACCCCGTTCGCGAAGCCGTGGCACATGTCAAGCTCCAGGATCACAGGTGGCGAGGAAGTCTCGGGCGAAACGCCCAGCCCGGCCGCCCGACACGCCTGGAGGTGCGACGGGAAGGAGTTGTTATTCACGCATCGCGTATCCCCAGCAAGCCATTCAGAAACGCTGCCCATGAGAGGCGATGGGAAACGGGAGGAAGAGACACATCTAGTGAAACGAATCGGGCAATGAGCGGAGGGGGAGGACTGTGTTGAGCCATCTTCGAGATCGTTTTGGAGCATCGGAGGCAGGAGGAGGAGGAGGAGGAGGACAACGAGGACAAGAACCCCTCGAGCTATCTTGTGGTCTTATCGGGGTATTCATGGGATCCTCTTGGGGTTTGCATTGGGTCCTCTTGGGGCTCTTTTGGAAGGCCCTGGGGTCCTCATAGGGGGCTGTCACAGTGTCTTGAGGCCGCCTTGGGGCACTCTCGGGACTCTCCTCGGGCCCTCTGGGGAGCCCTGTAGATGCTCTTGGGGCCATATTGTAGGGCGTCGGTCAAAGGAGGGGGGTCCTCGATTTGCCTCCTCCATCTGGGGCAATCAAGATCGCGGGGATAGCTCGGGCTATCTTGAGGCATCACGAGCCCCTCGGAAGCCAAAAGGCGAGAAGGCACACATCACTGATGCCCCTTAAGTGTTGGACGTATTTGGACCTCTTGGAGGGCCCGACGGGGGGGCTCGGAGAGCACTTGAAACCGTCTTGTGGCTCTTGTCGGGCCTCTTGGAGGTATGTCGGAAGCTATCTTGAACCATCTTCGGCTATACCCCCCTCCCTCCCCCAAAAAAAAGAGAGGAAAAAGCCTGGGGAGAGGCGGGGCAGGGGGGGTGCCCGCCCCGAGGGGAAGAGCGGGGTTTGGGAGAGGAGAGAGAGAACTCGCTGGACCATCTACGACCACAGGGCTGGTGGGATTCATCTCGCGCGTGGTGGGCTGGCCCTTCTGGCGCCCACCCCAGGGTGTCTGGGGAAAGGAGCTCGGAGGGAGGCCGGGGGAGGGGGGAGCAGGAGGATGGAGGAGCAGGAGGAGGCGGAGGAGGAGGAGGAAGAGGAGGAGGAGGTGGAGGAGGAGGAGAAGGCGGAGAAGGAGGCGGAGGAGGAGGAGGAGTCGACTAGACGTAAGAGTGACCTTTCGCCGGAGTGACCTTTGGTGCTGGCCCAATGGGGTCCCCCGACTGCTGAACGCGATGCGGCAGTAGCGTCTTGCGCGCTTGTGTTCGGTCCTCCCGCGGCCCCCCATAAGCCGCGCACCAAAGGTCACTCTTACCCAGGGTCACTCTTGCGTGTCGCCGAGAGGAGGCGGAGGAGGCGGAGGAGGAGGAGGCGAAGGCGGAGGAGGCGGAGGAGGAGGCGGAGGAGGAGATTCAGGGACAGGATGGGGTCGCATCGTGCGGGGGCGTGGCGCCGCGAGGGCGCGGCTGCCGCAGTGGCGCCGGCGCGAGGCCCTCGAGGCCCGGGCGCCCCCGCTGCCCCGGCCCAAGCAGTATCGACTAAACGTAAAGGAGTGGCCCTTCGCCGGAGTGACCTTCGGTGCGGGCCCATTGGGGTTCCCCGATCGCCGAAACCGATGCGCTGGTAGCGTCTTGCGCGCCTGTGTTCGGTCACCCCGCGGCCCCCAAAAAGCCTCGCAGCAAAGGTCACTCTTACCCAGGGTCACTCTTGTGTGTAGCCGAAGTAGCCTCGCGGACAGCCCGCCTCCGCCTCCGCGCCATCCTGCCGTCGCCGAGCGCGTTGCACTACTCGCAAAGTGCCTACTCGCAAACGTCCGAAAGGCAGATGCTTGTTTCGACGAGACGTATCGTAGATCCTCCGCGGCGGATCAGGGCCATTTGCGAGTATTTCCTTTGCGAGTAGTGGCACGCGCTCGTCTATGCTGTGCAGTAGAAACCCATGCCAAGAACAGGGTAATGAGCAGTGGCATCAACATAATAACTCAAAGGGCCGCGCGGATTTCTCGGATCGGCGCTGGGCCCCCCTGGTGGCGCCTCCGGCGCCGCCCCTAGCGCATTCCGCGCGCCAAGAAGGGCAGCGCCGATTCGAGAAATCCGCGCGGATCTCCGAGTTCTTATGTAAAGAAAGCCTGCTTGCCTCGAGGGTGCCCTAGGTTTCTTGGGTTTCGGTGATTCTGCTATGTAGAGCGTGACATGCCCACACAAAAGAAAAACATGGACGTCCTGGGGTCTCAGAGTTGGGTTTCTCGTGGAAGGATTCTTGTGGAGTGGCCTCCACTGTACACCCTCCTCCGTGCCGTGCTCCCCTCCTCCTCCTTCTCCTTCCTGTGATTCCCAGCCGCTGCTCGTCCTTCCCATTCTCCTCCCGTCGCCTCTCGGAGACTCCTACTACTCTCCCTCCCTCTTCCATCCTCCTTTCCCTCCTCTACCTCCTTCCCGGTACAGGAGGCTCATAAGATACCACATGGGCCTACCAGCGGGCGCCCTACGCAAATTATTTGTCCGCCGAGTGCCCCGCGAACGCCTTTCGGCCGTTCCAGGATCATCGAGATATGTGTCCCCAGATGTCTACTGGCAAGATCTCGTATCGTATGCATCTACTGTATCTTCCTCCATCTCCTTCCGCGGCAGCTGTGAAATTCCAGCTTGCACGGGCGCGGCAGATCATCGAATTCTGCTGCGCATGCCCTGGGGCGTGCCAGGCAGGGCGGCCCGTGACAGCCCCCGTAACACTCTCGAGCGCTCCACGCGTAGGTATTCCGGCCGGCCTTGCCAGCTGCGATTCGCCGTGCGAGCGCCGCGTTCGCGGACCACCGCGCTGCACAATCGCTTGCGTTTGGCTGTCTGGTGTCGTGGGGGCGACTGTGTCTCCGGTGCTTCGCGGCCCCCTCCCGTGGCCTCATCCTGGCCCCCTCCGCGGCCCGCCCGGCCCGAGCCGCCGGCGGGGAGACAACGGCGCGCCGGCGCAGTTTGCGTTGCGCCGCACTCTTTGCGCCGCACTCCCTACCTCAGCCAAGTGCGTGGCGGCAGCGGTCGAGTATGACCCAGTCCTTGCGGACGAGTCCGGCCCCGTCGTGCGGCAAGCGCGGCGACGGTCGACGAGATCGCGGTGCCGACTTGCACGGGGCGCAGCCCGACACCAAGCACGCGCAATCGAACGGCGGCCAGGCAGAGTGCGAGCCACCGGCTTGCACCCGCACCGGGCCCGCGAGGGTGCTCGAGCCCCGCCGCACCTGCCGCTGCCCGTGCAGGCTCCGACGGCACCAGCATCGAGGATGCCCTCGCCAAAACTGGCTGCCTCACGCTGGGCGGCCACGTGCCCCGCACCCTCCCCAGATGCGGCCGCATGCCCTCGCATTCCCGCACTCACCGACGATTTCGCCAGCGGCGCGGCCTGCACTGGCAGCACAGCCCCGGCAGGACAGACATGCACAAAGTGCAGAGTGGGCAGTGTGATCCGTTCATTCGGATGCAACTCCTGGGAGGTCAAATTCTGATTTTGCCCTGGTCCGAAATCCGGCTTAATCCGGCTTAATCCCGTTTCATCCCGCTTAATCCCGACTCATCCTCTTTAATCCGGCTTAATCCCGCTTAATCCGAGGCCCACTCTGGCGTAACAGTTCCCAAATGGGGATGGATCCTCCTTAATCTTTCCGACGAAAACCTCCCAGCAGTTGCCTCCTAAAGTTTATTAGCGCCGAGCGCGGCCTCCTCCAGGCAGCGCAGGCAGGCAACTGTCGCCAGCTCGTCAGCCAGCGCGCATAGGCGCTGTATTCGCCCGTGCGTTTCCTGCGGCCAGGGTCGGCGTGGCTCAGGACCGGAGCTTGCCGAGAAGGGCACGGCCACACTGCTCTCGAGGACCCACTTGGGTGATGAGCTCTCCTCCTACTCCTCCTCCTCCTCCTCCTCCTCCTCCTCCTCCTCCTCCTCCTCCTCCTCCCCCTCCTCCTCCTCATACTCCTCCTTCTCATACTCCCTCCTCCTCCTCCTCCTCCTCCTCCTCCTCCTCCTCCTCTCCTCCTCCTCCTCCTCCTCATATTCCTCCTCCTCCTCCTCCTCCTCCTCTCCTCCCTCCTCCTCTCCTCGTCATCATCATCATCATCATCATCATCATCATCATCATCATCATCATCATCATCATCATCATCATCATCATCATCATCATCATCATCATCATCATCATCATCATCATCATCATCATCATCATCATCATCATCATCATCATCATCATCATCATCATCATCATCATCATCATCATCATCATCATCATCATTATTCTCCTCCTCCTCCTCCTTCTCCTCCACTGCGGACCCCACCCTCGTTTCTCCATCAGCTCCAGGAATCTAGTGGCCTTTGTCCCTTCCCGCCACCCTGCCTGGTTTTTAGGTGGACTTCTCGGAGCCTCTGGGGGCCTCTTGGGCGCACATCGGGGGCTTGTGGGGGGATCTTGGGGCCATCTTGGGGCGGAGGGCTCAAAATGTCAGTTCGTGTTCCCCATCTTGGGCCCTTCTTGGGGTCGTCTTGGTGGCCTCTTTGGCCCCCCTGAAGGGCTATTGGGCCGTTTTGGGGCGACATTGGGCGCCTCCTGGGCCGTCTTGGACGCTCTGAGGACCGAAAAGGCGGTAATGCAACCCCCATGCAAAATCCAATGCGCCGCCTTCCAGGGCCTCCCAGACAAGACGGCCCAAGAGGCGCCCAAGAGGGCTCCAGGACGGTCCCCGAGGCCACGTGAAACCATGCTGGACATGCATGTCCCGAGCACCGCGCTCCTGGCCTCTCGAGAAGTCGCGCGGGGGCCCCGCGGGCGCGCGCCGCGAGCGCCGGGGAGCGCCCGGGCCTCAGGGCCGTGGGCCTCCTTAGATCATTTCTGCTGCGGGCACTCCAGCTCGTGCCGCAGGACACCGTGGCGGCTATCCCCCCACCGTGCAGCCGTGCCAGCGCCGCCTGCCAGCTACCATTCGGCCCCGAGGCGGTTCCCGGCTGCTAGCGCCTGCGCATCTGGTATGTTCGAGCGTCTTCCCGCTCCCGACGTCGGCGTCGAGAACATCTTCCCTTGCGCTCGTCCTCCCGCTTTCTGCCTACTGCGACCGCAGCTTGGCCCACTGACATCCAATATATCGTATAGCCTCCATGGTCTTCGGCTCCATCCGTCCCGCCGTAATGGGTGCGGCCGTGCCCTCCTTAGGCCTTAGATGGGTGCTCGTGTGCTCCTCCCCTCCGAGGCCGTGAGTTGTCCATATCGACCGCCCGGGAAGCGATCTTCCTGGACCTCGGGAAGCGTCGGACGTGGATATCCCCATTGGGGTCAGAACATGTCCATGCCCGCCGCCCCCAGGGTCCCAGGACGTTGGTTCCCCGGGCGGTGGTTATGGATGGAATACACGCCTCGCAGACCCCTTCGCCGACTCACCACTCACAGCCATGTCTTTTCTCCGCTGGCTGTTCCCAGTACCGTCGACCCGCATAGTAAGGATGGGCAACCTCCCCGAGGGTACCCTTGCATCCTTGCCCCTTCGGCCCGTCCTTAGCGACGTTCGCTGGCCAACCTCGTTCGAACAAGGTTAACATTCGGCGGCGAGCGAGGGGGGGAATGAGAAAGAGAAGGCCTTCTCAGAAGGCGGCGGGCCTTCTCAGAAGCCCTCGCGCCTTCTGGGAGGCTTGCTGTGTCTCCGGGGAAGGCCCAGGAAACTTCTCAGAAGGCCAGGGGACTTCCGAACCTTCTGAGAAGGCCTTCTCCTTCTCACTTCCCCCCCACGCCCGCCGCCGAGACATGGCCCTCCAAGGCTCTTGCATCCTTGCCGCGCATCCTCATGATGCGGGTCGAACCGTAGGTTACCTCCGGCCTCCTGCTCCGCTTCGCCCTCCCTCCACTCCTCGGTCTCGTTCCGACACCCTCCGCTCGCCGAGAGGCGTGCGCCAGGGTGCTGCGGGAGCGGATCGACGCCCTGGCGGCGCTGCAGACCAGGGAGAGCGGCAGGCCCTGGGGCCCCCGCCGTGGCCGCGCGAGGGGGCCGCTGGGGCCAGAACGAGGAGGAGGAGGAGGAGGAGGAGGAGGACGAGGACGAGGAGGAGGAGGAGGAGGAGGAGAAGGGGAAGTGGGAGGCGGAGGAGTAGGAGGAGGAGGAGGAGGAGGAGCAGGAGGAGGCGAGGACGAGGACGAGGCCGAGGACGAGGACGAGGACGAGGACGACGACGAGGAGGAGGAGGAGGAGGAGGAGAAGAGGAGGAGGAGGAGGAGGAGGAGGAGGAGGGGAAGGAGGAGGAGGGGAAGGAGGAGGAGGGGGAGGAGGAGGAGGAGGGGAAGGAAGAGGAGGAGGAGGAGGTGAGGACGGGGACGAGGGGGGGGGGCTGGCAGCTCAGTCGGGTTGTCCGTTCGTCGAGCGCCGGCGGGATGGCGGCTGCGTCAGTGATGGGCCACTTCTTCCGCCACCACTTACCACATGTACGACGGGGGAGAAGGGAGGATGAGGAGGTCCTCCTCCTCCTCCTCCTCCTCCTCCTCCTCCACCTTCTCCTCATCCTCCTCCTTCTTCTCCTTCTTTTTCTCGTCCTCCTCCTGCTCCTCCTCCTCCTCCTTCTCCTCGTCCTCCTCCTCCTCCTCCTCCTCCTCCTCCTCCTCCTCCTCCTCCTCCTCCTCCTCCTCCCTCTCCTACCGTTGGTAGTGGTAGTGGAAAATGGGTTCATCAGTCAGTGGAGGCGTTCGATCGCGCCGCATCGCCGACGCATCTCCGATGCTGCTCGATGTGGAGCCTGATTTGCTCCACGCCGACGTCGCTGGTGCGTCGCCGACGTCGGCGGTGCATCGCAGATGCATCGCCGATGCATTGGCGGTGCGGCGCGATTCTTCGACCCCATCTACTCGGACCCCATCTAAGATGCCTCTAGTTCTGGCATTCCGTTCTGAAGAGTCAGAACGCACGAGCATCGTCAAGGTGGAGCTCGTACCACGCTAGTGCAGACTGGGCGGGGATGGAAGTGCGACGAGAGGCCGAAGAGCGAAGGAGCTTGCAAGGGCGAGAGCGTTAGTGCCGGACATGCGAGTCCTTTCTCTTATTTTCCTTTTCCTCACCCGGGGCAGCGCAAACATTGATTGAGGCGCGTGGGTCAACGACGGACCCCGCTTCCGCATATCATCGGCGAGCTCCGTCGCCAAATTGAACGGCGTTGGCATCATGTTTCGGGGGGTGCTCTCCTCCCCGATCAGTGGATTCCTCGCTTCGCTAGGTGCATGTCTGGAATGTGTAGGGTATGTGCGCCTGGGTTCTTCTGGGAGCCTAGCACCTGATGGGCCGTCTTGGGTATTGTTTGGACCATCTTGGGACTAGATTGGAAGCCTCAGGGGTGGTCTTGGGGTATCTGGAGCCCGAGGAGGTGAGAATTTCATTTTCCCAGAACCGAAGAGACATCAATACATGTTGCCTCTGGAGGCCCTCTTTGCGGTCCTCTTGGAGCCCTCTTGGGCCGTCTTCAGGGGCTCTCGGGCCGTCTTGGGGGCATCTGGGGCCATCCTGAGGCAATATTGGGCCGTGTTGGAGCCATCTCGGGCCATTCTAAGACCCTCAAGAGCAGTCTCGAGCCACTCTTCTATGTTCAATACGCTCAACAACACCACATGTTTTTGCCCCAGCATGGGTGCAACATGTTTGGTCTGCGGCTGGGGCGTGTGGTCCTGGTGGGGGAGTTAGGGAGTCCACAGTGGCATAACGCATTACAACATACTGTGAGATGTATTTCTTGATACTTCGCGTGCCTCACCAGCACCATCCAGCAACGATGCCCAGGCGACGTTCCTTGATCAGAGAAGTGGGCCATCATGCAGTGGGGCACAGAGCTGGGGAAGCCGTCAAGCCGAAGCCTTGGGTCAGCTTGAGCAGACCCGTCAAGCCTTCGCAGAGCTTTCGCTCCGCGAGCCTCTTGGAAGCCTCTCGGAGCCATCATGTAGCCATTTGGGCAGCTTCTTTGGCCTACGCGACACCGCCGACCCTTTGGGCGACTGGCGGTTGTGGCGTGCTGCTCCTGAGGACCTCTTGGGCGCCTATTGGCGGCTTGTTGGTGTCCTCTGGTGCGCTTCATGGGCCCTCTGGGGGGCCTCTTGGAGTTTCTTGGATGCTTCTCAGGGGCCATAGGGAGCTGAGGGCTCGAAATGTGGGCTCGGGTTCCCCTCCGGAGCTCTTCTTGCGGCCGTCTAGGAGCTCTTTTGGGCTATGTTGGAGGCCTCTGAGGCCGTCTTTGGGGCCGCGTGGGGGCCGTCTTTGCCCGTTTAGAGGCCCTCTTGGAGGCCTCTGGGGCCGATTTGGGGAATCTTGGGAGCCTTTTGGACCGCCGTGGAGCGTCTGCAAACCGAGACGGCGAGAACGATAAAATCCTCAAAAACAAAGTGGAAATCTATGAACGTTGCCTCGTTGGGCCCTCTTGGGAGGGCTGCTCCTGGAGGCCTCCTGGGGCGTTTTTGGGGGCGTCTTGGGCCGTCTCGTGGCCGTCCTGGAGGATCTTTCGGTGACTGGGGGCCCTCTTGGACCGTCTTGGGGATCTCTTGGGGCCCTCTTGGCCCGTTGAGGGGCCCTCCATCCTCCCACGATGCGTTCGGGCCAGGCCCGGGTGACCCAGGCGGACCCCCCTCCTTCCAATCGACCAGACCGAGCTCCGGGGGAGGAGTGGGGGGAGGGGGAAGCATATCACACGCTGATGACACCCCAAGGGGTCGGCGGATTTTGCCGCCACGTGCACATTGCAGTGTTTTTTTTTGTTGTTCGGAGAGGAATGGATGGTCTGCGCACACGGGGTAAGGTGATGCTCCCCGGCGTTGTGTAATACAACAATGCGCAGTGATGGGGGGACGCCCGAAGATGATCCAGATCATGTCGCGAAGTGCACTTTCTAAACCCGTGGGATATAGACGGAGTTGACCCCTGGAAGACCTCCTGGGAAGTTGTGTAGGGCTCTCGTCGAGCGTCTCTGGGGCGTCGGCAGTTGTCTGCACCTTGAGATTCAGGTCGCCGCTCTGCGGTCCTGGCCGTTGTGGTCTACCGAGGTCATGGCCTGACTGTTGAGTGTTCCAGCCGCCGACGTCTCGTCCTGGCCACGGGGCCCTGACCCTCATGTTGTGACGTTGGTCGCGGCCACGGGATCCTGGCCGAAGCGTCCTCGGCCTCTGCCGGGGGCCCACGCGTCGCCGCCGCTCGCGCAGGATGTGTGCTGGGCCCCCCCCCTGCTTCAGCAGGCGCCGTAGCGAGCCGTCTTGGCCGCCTCTCGGCGTTCGGCAAGCCCGCGGCGCAGGGCCGCGGCCGGATGGCTGGATGCTCGGTGGCCCGGCCCGCGGCGACGCGGCCTCCAGCGGCGGGCGGCCCGCCATGCCAGGCGCGGCGAGCCCGTTCGGCGCGGCGCTGCGCGATCTGCCCGAGTTGCGGGCGGCCGACGGCGCCGCGGCCAGTGGCGGCGGCATCTTCGGGACGGCGCCGCAGCCAGCGGCCGACGGCGGGCAGCCGTCGAGCATCTTCGGGCCTCGGCCAGCGCTACCGGTGCCCCGCGGGAGCGTACTCGGGCAGGCGCGGTGTTCCTCGGGCGGGCTCTTCGGGCTGGCGGCGAGCTCCGGCGGCGGCCTCTTCGGGCAGGCTCCGGAGGGCGGGCAGGGAGGGAGGAGGGCAGGACGGAGCTCGAAGTGATGCGGGATGGCTCTGGGGCGCCTTGAGCCAGCTTGTGGGACCAGAGGCCTGGTGTACCACCATGGTGCCATGGTGTAATTACCACCTCGAGGGCAGGGGAACTACCGATCAAAACGATGTGGTTGCTGAGCAGGGAGGACGGAGGGAGGACGGAGGACGGAGGACTGAGAGAGGGAGGATGGACGACGAGGAGGACGGGGAGGGACGCTCAACAAGGACGATGAGCACGGAGGTCGGTCGGGCGGTCGCGACCCTCGAGTGACTGGGTCTGCGGAGCTCTGCTGGGACGGGTGGGGTGCAACCATGGTCACCCAGAGCCCAGCGAGAGGAGGAGTGGGAGGAGGAGGAGGAGGAGGAGAAGGAGGAGGAGGAGGCGGAGGAGGAGGAGGAGGAGGAGAAGCAGGAGGAGGGAGGCAGGAGGAAGAGGAGGAGGAGGAGGGGAGGAGGAGGAGGCGAGGGAGGAGGAGGAGGAGGACGATGGAGGCGGAGGAGGAGGAGGAGGAGGAGGAGAAGCAGGAGGAGGGAGGGCAGGAGGAGAGGAAAGAGGAGGAGGAAGGAGGAGGAGGAGGAGGAGGAGGAGGAGGAGGGCAGGAGGAGGAGGGGGAGGGAGGAGGAGGCGGACGAGGAGGAGGAGGAAGAGGAGAGAGGAGGAGAGAAGGAGGAGGAGGAGGGAGAGGACGAGGTGACGAGGAACGAGGACGAGAGGAGGAGGACGAGGACGAGGACGAGGAGAGGAGGAGGAGGAGGAGGAGGTGGAAAGAGGGAGGAGGAGGAGGAGGACGAGCGAGAGGAGGGAGGAGTAAGGAGGAGGATGAGGAGGAAGAGGAGGGGGAGGAGGGGAGGACGAGGAGGAGAAGATGGAGGGGAGGATGGGGAGGAGGAGGAGCGCGGAGGAGGAGGGGGAGGAGGAGGAGGAGGAGGAGGAGGAGGAGGAGGAGGAGGAGGGTGGAGAGAACAGGGACGAGTGCTGCGCAACTCGGCCCTGCGTGGTGTCCGCGGGCTTCGGGCGGGAGCCAGGCGGGCCTCGGGCAGATCTCGGGGCAGAGGCCCTGGGGGGACGGGGAGGGGCAGGTCGGCCGAAGCATCGAGCGCACGCGCGAGGACTCAGCGCTGCGCGAGGGTGCTCCTTCGCTGGAGTGGCCCCTGGTGCGGGCCCATGGGGGTCGCGCCAGGAACTGCCTGCGGTCTCGGAACTGGCGTCCCTGTGGCCTTCCGGTAGAAAGGTCGCTCTGGCCCAGGATCTCAGCTGCCTCGATACGCCCGTTCGGGAGCGCAACACGTACTACGTGACACGTACCGTGTACCGTGCTCTACACGTCCGTGTCAATACGTTGCGTGTTGGCCCATTGTTTTGGCCCACGTTTCGGCGAAAGTATCGCGTCATACCTTTGTTTTCAGCCTACGTGTTGAGCTACGTGTCAATGCGTATCGGGGCAGGCCAGCCCAGGATCATTCTTGCATGCAGCCCGGAGGACTCGGCGCAACGCAAGGGTGCCCCTTCGCCAGGGTGACCTTTGGCGCTGGGCTGAAGGCTGCGTCACGGGGCGCCCTCCACGACCTCCGAGGGCGTCTTCAGGGAGTGCTCTGTTGGGGGTTGGAGGGGGCGCGCTCCCCATGGCCATGGCAGGAGAAGGAGGAGGAGGAGGAGGAGGAGGAGGAGGAGGAGGAGGAGGAGGAGGAGTCGGCGAAAGAGCAGGAAGAGAGGGAAGACGAGGAGAGAGGAGGGAATGGAGGGATGATGATGGTCAGGATGGCGAACGGAACAGCATAGTATTGACAACAGGAGGGGGAGGAGGAACAGCAGCAGCACCAGTAGAAGCGGAGGCAGCAGAACATATAGGAGGAGGAAGAGAGAGGAAGACGGGAGGAGGAGGAGGAGGAGGAGGAGGAGCAGGAGGAGGAGGAGTAGGAGGAGGAGGCGAAGGAGGAGGAGGAGGAAGAGGAGAGGGGAGTAGGGGATGTGGAGGCGATGAAGGATGATAAGGATGCAGGCGAAGGTTGAAGATAAAGAGAGGAGCACGGGTGAGATAGACGATGTAGGTGAAGCAGGAGGAGATGCGGCGGAGGAGGAGGAGGAGGAAGAGGCAGCCAGAGGAGGAGGAGGAGGAGGAGGAGGAGGAGGAGGAGGAGGAGGCGCAGGAGGAGGAGGATCAATAAAAGGGAGTTGATAACAACGTGGGGGACGAGACAGAATAGCGAGGACGAGGGGCGAAATATGAGATGAGAAAAGAGGGCAAGCAAAATCATCAGCGGGTGAACAAGAAACAGGATGGAGGAGGAGGCGGAGGAGGTTGAGGAGGAGATTCACTTATCCCCCAGCGGCAGGCCGACGGTGAAGGGGGGCCCACGACCAAGCGCCTGAAGGAGACTATCAATGAGACGGCCGCCGAGCTCTTGTGTCCCATCACCGGCATGTTGCCCTTCGACCCGGTCATGGCAGAGGATGGGCACGTGTACGAGCGAGAGGCAATCCAGTCTTGGTTTGCGCGCGGGAAGCAGACATCGCCAATCACGAACAGTAATCGAAGACGCCTACGGCGAATCACCGCCGCCCCCTGCCTTTGTGGAAGCGCCTATGTGGCCGAACGTTGAGGCCAGACCTGCCAAGCCATCGGACCATGTGTTCCCCGAATCGGTTTGGAAAGCCTTCGGGGAACACGTGGGCGTCTTGATGGTCATCGTCGCCGTCTTGGAGGCCTCTTGGGCGATCTTTCGGCGATCTTTGGGGGCTCTTGGGCCGTCTCGGGCCGTCGGAAGGCCGAAAAAAGGGAAATGCCCAAATCCATCAAAAACCTTGGGAAAATCAGTGATTTTGGCATCTTTTGGCCTTCCTGGAGGCCCTCTTGGGGGCCTCTTGGGCCCTTTTGGGCCAGCTTCGAGCCAACTTCGGCCATCTTGGTGGGTTCCTGGCACGTCTGACGCCGTCGGGAGCCGTTTTGGGGGCCTTTCTGGGCCAACGGGGGACCCTCTTGGGGCGCTCCAGGGCCGTCTTGGAGGCCATCTTGGGCGTCTTGGAGGCCATCTTGGGCGTGTTGGAGGCCTCTTGGGCCGTCTTGGGGCCCTCTAGGGGCCATCTTGGAGGCCACTTGGGCCATCAGGGGCTCTCTTGGGGGCCTCTTGGGCGATCTTGGGGGCTTCTTGGGCCGTCTTGAGCCGTCGGAGAGCCGAAAAGGCGCAAATGCCAAAATCCTTCAAAAACCAAGGGAAAATCAATGATTTTGGCCTCTTCGGACTCTCCTGGAGGACCTCTTGGAGGCCTCTTGGGCCGTCTGGGAGGCCTCTGGGGGGCCTCTTGGGCCGTCTTGGGCCGTCTTGGACTCTCTTGGGCCGTTTTGGAGGCCGTCTTGGACCATCTCGGGCGGACTTGGAGGCCATCTTGGGCCATCTTCGCGATTTGTTGAGGATGTCCCGAGCGAAACGGCCGTTTTTGGAGGATTTGTTCCGGTCGTTGAGCACGTTTGGGGATTTTCCGGGTGGCCGGCGGGTTCTGCCGGAGCCCACTGGGGAGTTCTTTTGGAAAAAAAACCAAAACCAAAACCTGACAGCTCATCCAGCACGCCGTGCACCCCTGCAAGCAGGGGGCGGCGGATTCGGTTGCCTGCGGCAAGTCCCACCACCGTGCCAGCCCAGTACTCTCAGAGGCGACTGTTCGAGGGGCGACACGCAGCTGGAACATGTGAAGATGAGGAGGAGGAGGAAGAGGAAGAGAGCGACCGACACATTCCATTGAGGCCGTCTTGGAGCTCTCTTTGGCCGTATTGGGACAATCTTGTCCATCCAGTTGGTTTCTTGGGGCCGCCATCGTCGGGCTGTCTTGGGGCCGTCTGGGGATGTCGAGAAGCCTCGGAGGTCGTCCTGTGTCCCTCCATAGGCCCTTTTGGGCCAGCTTGGGGCTCTATTGCGGTCGACCTGGGCCGTCTAGGTGCCCTTTCGGGCCAGCTCGAACCTGCTTTGGAAGATTATTGGGCAATCTGGGGACCGTGTTGGGGCCATCCTGGAGGCTTCTCAGGCCGTCTTGAGTTGAAGGAAGCCCGAGCATACGAAGGCGCTCAAATATGTTAAAAAACCTTTGTATAAGAACATATGGGATTTGGGGCCTCTTGGGGCCGTACTGGGGATCGTCTTGTTGCCCTGTTGGGCCGTCTTCGAGACTCCATTGGGCCTTTGTGGTGCCATCTTGGGCCGCCCTGAGGCCATCTCGGGCCGTCTTGGAAGTATATTTGCCCATTTTTGCGGCCCTGGTGGCCTGCATCGGCCGTCTTGGAAGGTTGGGAACGCTCATCCATCAATGTGTTACCGGTGAACGTGGCTTCTGGAGCGTGGATCCAGAGTTGTTGCCTGTCACTGCGAAAACATAGTGGCAACGGGAGCGAAGGCCCACTGTCTGTTTGTACCGGGAGCCTTGGCTTCGGGAGGGGCGAGCCACTGGTTTGTGTGAGAGGTCGTGACCTCAGAGAGGCAGACATTCTGCTACTACGGAAGGGGGAATGCATGCTGTTGAGTGTTAGTAGAAAGGTGGGGCGGCCCTTTAAAAGACTACAGAAACCCTGACAGGCAGCAGTTGGCATTTTACCACGCCTCAGCGTGCCAGGGGGCGCGGTGACGCATATTGGGACCAAGTTGATTCCGTCCGCGCAGGTGCGCAACGTGATCGAGCGCATGGTGCGAGGCGGCACGATCAGCGGGGACATTGCGGATCAATGGATCAAGCGGATCAAAGATTTGGACACGGTCAAAAAGTTGCGCGAGGATGCCGAGAAAGGCAATGTTTTAGCAATGCTTGGTTTGGCGGATGCTTATCATCATGGAAAGCACGGTCTTGCACAGGATCAGGATCTAGCGACACAATGGTTCCGCAAGGCCGCGGATAATGGCGACGTCACAGCTTTGGATGTTCTTGGATGCATGTCTGCTTCTCCTGCGCTCAAGGTGCATTGGTGGACCTGCTCTGCGGAAGGTGGCGGCGAGAACGCTTGCTTCCATCTGGCGAAAGCATTCGCACATGGCACATGTGGTTTGCCCAAAGACCCTCATCTGGCCAAAAAGTGGCTGGCGAAAATGCAGGGCTCCAAACTACGAAACGCGGATAGTGGAAGTAGAGACAATGCTGCCAAGCTCCTGCGCGATCTTTCCGGTGCGCAGTAAGGATCGCCAGAGCTGGGCGCAACGACCGACTTTGAGGCGGGACCAGCCAGCACGACATTACACGTGATGCAGCAGTCGCAGCGCCGTGGCCCCGTGCCCTCCTCGTTTCCCTCCTCCCTCCTCTGTGGGCGCGCGGTGCTCGTGGGCAGTGGCGTGGCGGAGCACGTTGGCCACGGTATGCTCGAGCAGCTCGGGGCGAGGTGCTACCGATGGCGCGTCCGCTCTGGAACATCAAACATCGATTGATGGGCTTGTTTTCCACCACCACCACTATAAGTTGGAGGGGGGAAGGAGGTTGAGGACGAGGAGGAGGAGGAGGAGGACCCCCTCCCCCTCCAACGTATGGTGGTGGAGGTGGAAAACAGGCCCATCATCGATGCAGCAGTCCAGCGCCTGCAGGCTGCCGGGCCTCCGCCTCTCGGTGGCGCGCCCGTCGCAGGCTCGCCTGTTCGTCGCTCGGGGTGCGTCTGCAGCTTCCGAGGCTCAAGCGCGTGTGGAGGTGCTGCAGCGTCGCGCTGGCCGCCGCCCAGGGAGCGGGTCAGATCTACGCGGCCCGAAAAGAGAGTCCACCTGCACTCAGCTTGCCATTCGAAGGGGTGATCAGACCCTTCCCCTCGCCCCCCTTGGCCTTATTCGGCTTTCTGTCCTGGGGCCGAACGGCCGAAACTGAACAGTCCCTTCTCCTTTCCCCCCCCCCTTCCCACCGCTTTATTTTTACCTGAGGCTAACCTGTGTTTTGTGTGTTCCATAGCTTTCCCCACTTCACGCGTCCTCTCCCACTCCTCCTCCCCCTGCACACTACACAATATGAACACTACTCTCCGCTCTCCCCTGGTGGCGTCCAGGAAATATTCGGCCCCCCTCCGCGTATTGTTGTTTACGCATCGGATTCCCGGGAAACGGGTTTTCGCTTGGGTTGTTTTTTCAAAAATCCGGCTCTCGCTGAAGCGCTGGGCTAATTTTCGGGCTACCGCTCGTTCCGAATCGTGCTCCCGCTGCAGCGCTGGCTTCATTTCCGTGCTTCCGCTCGTTCCGAATCGTGCCCCCGCTGCAGCGTTGGCGTCATTATTTCCAGCGCCGCGCCACGGCATGCTTCTTGGTCCTTCCAAGTAGGCCCCAACATCTAGAAAATGCCCCCCCCCCCGAAAAAAACATCTGATGTGATTCCACACTCGGTGTCGATTCGTTGATTTTTTGGGCTGCAGCAGCACCCCCCCGACTTTTGGGGCGTCGCCACGCCATGCGATGTCAGGCGACGCGTCCTCGTTTCCGCGCTTCCGCGCTGGGCTATGTTTCAAAATGCTGCGCTCGCTGAAGCGCTGGGCTAATTTTCGGGCTACCGCTCGTTCCGAATCGTGCTCCCGCTGCAGCGCTGGCCTCATTTCCGCGCTTCCGCTCGTTCCGAATCGTGCCCCCGCTGCAGCGTTGGCGTCATTATTTCCAGCGCCGCGCCACGGCATGCTTCTTGGTCCTTCCAAGTAGGCCCCAACATCTAGAAAATGCCCCCCCCCCCGAAAAAAACATCTGATGTGATTCCACACTCGGTGTCGATTCGTTGATTTTTTGGGCTGCAGCAGCACCCCCCCGACTTTTGGGGCGTCGCCACGCCATGCGATGTCAGGCGACGCGTCCTCGTTTCCGCGCTTCCGCGCTGGGCTATGTTTCAAAATGCTGCGCTCGCTGAAGCGCTGGGCTAATTTTCGGGCTACCGCTCGTTTCGAATCGTGCTCCCGCTGCAGCGCTGGCCTCATTTCTGCGCTTCCGCTCGTTCCGAATCGTGCCCCCGCTGCAGCGCTGGCGTCATTATTGCAAACATTACGGCCGGTGCCGCCGACCCTGGAAGACGACACCCACGATGAAGGTGGCAGCCGGAGGTATTCAAGCACGAGGAGGAGGAGGAGGAATACGCGAGGAGGAGGAGGAGGAGGAAGACGAGAGGAGGAGGTGGAGGAGGAGGAGGAGGAGGAGGAGGAGGACGACGACGACGACGACGAGGGGGGGGGAGGGTGCGTATCTGGATGGCGACCCCCCCCCCAGGACCTCCCCCGGGACCCCCCCCGGGCCCCCCCCCCCTTTCCCTCGGCGGGCAAGGGATCGAAGGGAAGTTCCCTTCGATTCAATTACGATGGAGCTCATTTTCGTTGAGGGTGGTGCGGTCGCTCATTTACGATGTAAGTCATTTTCGCTAAGGGTGGCGCGCCGAGGACGACGCGTCTTCCACACGCCGAGGGGGTATTCGTGGGGCGTCTTGAAAACGTCTTGGGCCGTCTGGAGGCTACTTGGGCGTCTTGGACCGATGGTTCGGCGATTCGGCACCCTCTGGGACCGTCTGGGCGGCTTCTTGGGGCACTCTTGGCCCGTGTGAAGCTTCTCTAGGTCCTCGGATCCCATTTTCGTTTAGGGTGGCGCCCCCCCCCTCCCTGGCGAGCAACGGATCAAAGGGAAGGCCCCTCCCGAGGAGGAGGGAGGTAGGAGGGAGGAGGGGGAGGCGAAGAGGGGGGAGGAGGACACTCCCCCACATGTTCGGGATGGGCAAAACAATCAGAAAAGTAGGCTGGGGGGAGGGTGCGCATCTGGGTGGCGACCCCCCCACGGGACCCCTTCCAGGACCCCCCCTCCCTTCGGCGGGGAAGGGATCGAAGGGAAGGGGCTCCCCTTCGATTCAATTACGATGGAGCTCATTTTCGTTGAGGGTGGTGCGGTCGCTGATTTACGATGTAGGTCATTTTCGCTAAGGGTGGCGCGCCGAGGACGACGCGTCTTCCACACGCCGACAGGGTCGGCGGATTTCCAGCGCCGCGCCACGGCATGCTAATTTTGGCCCTTCCAAGTAGGCCCCGACATCTCGGAAATGCCCCCCCTGAAAAAAACATCGGAAGTGATTCCACACTCGGTGTGGATTCTCTGTTTTTTGGGGCCGCAGAAGCCCGCCCCCACTTTTTGGGCGTCGCCACGCCATGCTATGTCATGCTACGCGTTGATATTCGACACCATGCTATGCTCTGTAATGCGATGCCACGCTGCGACATCCATTTGTGCGAAAAGAGAGGAGATCTACGCCATGGTAAGGGATGACAGGGAGGGGTAGGACGTCTGGAATGACGCGAACGTATCTAGCTTTCCCCCCCCTCCCCCCTCTCCCTTTCGCCTGAGCGGTGGCGGCGGCGCTACTGATATCGAATGGCCACCTGAGGGAGGAAAGGCGAGAAGGAGGAGGAGGATGAGAATGAGGAGGAGGAGGAGGAGGAGGAGGAGGAGGAGGGACGATGGGAGGGCAGGGGGCGAAGGGACGAGGGGGAAGGGGAGGCGGAGTAGAAAGGAAGGATGAGGAGGAGGAGGAAGCAGAGGTTGGAAAGAGCATGAGTAGTGGGGAGGGGGAGGAGGATTAGAAGAGAGGGAGTGGAGCAGCAGGGAGCGGGGGGAAGAGGGGACACGAAGGAGGAGGGCTGGCCCGGACGGCATCAGGAGTGGCCTGGCGAGGCAGGCTCTGGCGTCGACTGGACGCGTCTGGTGCCGCTCCTGCGCCCCCCCCCGCTGGAGTCAGACGCTGACCCGCGCTGTCGGACCCCCCGCCTCCTCCCACCAAGCGACCGTCTCCTCGCGCATGCAGGGGATGGTGGCACTTCGGGAGAGAGCGCGGACTCGTTAAGCCCAGGCCGAGGAAGCGTGCTTTCGACGATTAAGCAGGGGTGGCGCCCAGTCGCGGCCCTGGCGGGCTCCTCGTCCCCGCCAGGGTGACGAGCAATCCTCTGACGGGTGACCCCCTCCCCGACATGCCGTTCAGGCTCGCAAGCCTCCACCCCTCGGGGCTGTCTGTCCTGATCTAGCCCCTCCTCTCCCCCTCCCGCCTCCCTTCTTCACGCTTCGTCTGGGGGTCCCCAGGGGGGGGGGCCCTGAGGCGCCGGGGGTCCCTGGACGAGGACGATGAGCACGAAAAAGAGGAGGAGGAGGAGGAGGAGAAGGAGCAGGAGGAGGAGGAGGAGGGCGGAACTGGAGGAGGAGGAGGAAGGAGAGATGTAGAAGGAAACACAAACGAGAAGGACGGGTGAGGAAGTGGATGGTTGCGCACATGAATTCAGACCATGCGTCGCATGGCATCATCACCACGTCTCTCTTTTTTTTTTCTCTCTCTCTCTCTCTCTCTTTTTTTTTTCTCTCTCTCTCTCTCTGTCTCTCTCTCTCTCACTGTCTCTCTCTCTCTCTCTCTGTAGATGTATACATACATACATGCATATACACCTACCTAGTACAGGCTTTTACACCAGAGAAAAAACAACTAGTGGATGGTTTGATGAGATCGACGGTGAGATCGATTGAGTGCGATGAATAGTGAGATTGAGCATGAGATCCATAATGAATCGTGAGATCGATAAAGAGATCGATAAGGAGATCGACCGGGAACCCGGGAACCCGGAACCCACCGAAATCGGCCCGCAACCAATAACCAGGAACCCGGGAACCCGGAACCGGGAATCCGGGATCCCAGCCAGCTACCAAAATCATCGGGATTCAATATCCGCTAGGACCCCTTTCAGAGCAAGCTCTGATTGGGGATTATTTTGTGTACGCTCTTTTTGTTGGTTCTCTCTCTCTCTCTCTTTCTCCTTCTTTTTTTTGTTTCGCTCTCTCTCTCTCTCTTCCTCGAATGTCGGCTCCAGGATGTTGCTCGAAGCGAGCCCAGACGCCACGCGCCCCGTGTTATTGTCTGCTTCGCGAGACCTGGTACGACCCAAGTCGGGACATATTGGTGTTTGCTGTTGCACACCACTTCGTTACCGCGCGCGCCATGGCTCCTCAAAGGTCATCGCCGTACGCGTCCAGAGCAGCCCAAACCACCAGGCAAGGGCCGCCCAAAGGTAACCCTACCAGATAGCAAACTGTCCCGAAGGGAAACCTGCGTTGTCGCATTCCGGAGCAGTGGTGGCGTCGACCCGGCAGCCGCTGCATACAACGAGCTGCTCCAACCAGCACGAACTGAGGAACACGCTGATGAAACTGTG